CTGCAGCACGCCAGGCCTCCCTGACCATCACCGACTCTCAGAGCTTACTCAAGCTCATGTCCATCAAGTCGGTGATGCCATCCAACCATCTCATCCTCTGTCATCCCCTTCTCCTCCCGCCTTCAATCTTTCTCAGCATCAGGGCCTTTTCTAATGAGATCCAACCAGTCCATTCTAAAGGAAATCAGTTCTGAATATTCATTGGAAGGACTGATGCTGAGGCTGAAACTCCAATACTTTGGCCACCTGATGCGAAGAGCTGACTAGTCCAGGCTGCTTAGACCCAGAGAACTCCCTGCTGTGTGTGTGGTTCCTGGGGCCCCAGCTCCTCTTGCTGTCCTGCCTTTGCTTCGCTCTTCAGTCTTCTTATATGTGTTTCGTGTATAATATCTTGTGGTTTTAAGCTGTCCTTGGCAGAAGGAATTAGGGAGAAGACTATTTTATCTTGATCTAGTCTTTACTAGTCTTTTCTAGGCTAAAAGACTTTTCTAGTCTTTACTGCTATCTTTCTCTAGGAGGAAACTTTATCTTGATTTTCTAGTGATACCTGTTTTTCACATTTTTGTATTTTTTTACATGTGGAAGTAAGTAACTCTTTGTGTCTGGGGTTCTTTATCACTCAACATCATTTTGTGTTGTTGCTGTTCAGTTGCTAAGTTGTATCCAACTCTTTGCAACCCCATGGACTCCAGCATGCCAGGCTTCCCTGTCTTTCCCTGTCTTCTGGAGTTTGCTCATGTCCATTATATATGGACACATACACAAATATATGCAGTTGATCCTGAAACAACACTGGTTTGAACTACTTGGGTCCACTTTTATGCAGATTTCTTCCAGTAATGATATACTGTTGCCTGTTATCCCCATTCGTGGGTTTCATGTCTGTAAATTCAACCAACTGCAGATCAAAATTTTCGTGTGCCTTTGCTTGAATCCGTGGATGCAGACAGAACCTGCGGATGTGGAGGGCTGACTTTGAGACTTGAGTGCCCTGGAGTTTTGCTGTACATGGGGTTCCTGGAAGTAATCCATCCACGGATACTGAGGTACAGCTGGACTATAGGCAGTATACCCATGTAAATTAAGGAAAGAACTTTCCCCAACTGTGATCCCTGCAAAGTAGCAACTGTTAATAGCTCTTACCTATTCTTCCAGAATAAATGTTCAGCCATGACCTTTATACATTTATGCTTTGTTTCAGGTTTTTCAGCTGGACTATGGATTGGCAGGGAAGAAGCTTCCGTGCCTTCTACTCCATGCGCACAGACTAGTGAAGGAAGCTTGGTTGAGGATATAGACCAGGGCAGCCTACCTCTTAGGCAGCTTTTCTTGGCCTCCAGTTCCTTGATAAAGGGGATAAGCCACACCTAATCAGGTGTGTAGCTCAGAGCCTACTAAACAGTCAGTGTTTGCCTTAAAGTGTTTTATAGCTAAGGCTTATCACCATTCTGGTTGATTTTGAGAAACAGTCTTTGCCTTTCCATTTAGGGAAATATTTATACAGAAAGTACACTTGAACAAAACTCATTTAGTCACAACTTTATCATGTGGGAAAAGACAAAGAATCAATACTACAGAAGAGATTTGTGACATTGTTTCTTGGATCAAATTCTTTTTAGAGTCATTTAGATTAAATGGTTTTAAATTAGATTTGGATTGTTGTTGTCATAGAAATAGACCTTTAGGAATGTTGAGACATATTACTTAGATCTTATTCTGCTTTCTTTCCCTGATGAGGATATAGACAGTGAAAGTTTGAACACATTTTTTTTGGCCTTGCCATGTGGCATGTGAAATTCTAGTTTCCTGACCAGGGATTGAATCCATGTCCCCTGCATTAGGAGCTCCAAATCATAACCACTGGACTACCAGGGAAATCCCTTAACACATTTTTAAAAACATGATCACTAAAATAGGAAAATTGCTAACAAAAGTTTTCACATTTGTGTGTGTATATTAAATAAACCACATGCTAAGTCCTCCTACTAGAGAACTTCATGATAAAATTGGACTTGGTAGTGTTTAGTAAAATAAAAATTCAGCTATGATATTTCCAAATTGTGTGTTTAATCTTTGATTTATATAGTTTAAAAGTTTAATTATATAAATTTCAAACTCACAAATAATGAATGTAGCAAGCCTTCCTGCTGCCAGCATCTAGATTCAGCAGATACAAGCACGGCTGACAGTTGTTTTCTCCCAACTCTTTCCCTCTTGCTTCCCCACACTTCTACTGGCTTGTTTTAAAGGAAATCCCAAATATGATATCTTTTCATCAGTAAATGCTTTTGTATTCTAAGAGATAATAACTTATTTAAAAAAACCAACCATAATACCAATATCATTCTGCTTACTGTCTTTATCCTCTCAAGTTTTAAAAGGCCTGTTAAGGGGCTTCCCTGGCAGCCCCATGGCTAAGACTCGACACTTCCTCTGCAGGGTGCACAAGTTCTGTCCCTGGTTGGGGGACTAAGATCCCACATGCTGTTGGTGCAGCCAAAAAATAAATAAATAAAAATGCCTGTCAGTATTATTGCTATTAACAGGATGATTAATTAATTCTCTTTAGGATATCTCTGTAGTCTCTTTTGTCTTTGGATATAGCCTACTAGGGATGTATGATCATGTTATAAATTCTCTAAAATAATTATTTTCTGTGATTAAGCTTGATATACACAGGTTCATTTGTTTTTGGCTTATTTTCTACTTTGACTATTTGATTCCCACTTTTATTATTATGTAAAAGAGTTCCATGATTCTAAAACAAGATTGATTTAGAAGCCTAAATGTTCCCTTCTCTTTCCTTTTATATATTCAGTGGAGCTTGTGAAGTCCCTGGTAAAATAATGATAATATTGTTTACGTGTGTATTTTGAGAGAGCCATAGTTACTGTCAATTTTACTGTGGGAAAAAAAATTATATTGGGCAGTGGTTCTCAAACATTTTTGGTCTCAGGATCCCTGTAAACGCTTCTGAAAGACTCAGAAGAACTTTTATTTGCCATATAAGAAAAAAACATTTACAAATTTTTATTTACTTAAAACTCCCATTATGTGTTAATATACATTTTTTTTCTTGAAAATAACCATATATTCCAAAGCCAGAACATTGGTGAAAAGAGTGGATTTGTTTTATATTTGCGTATCTTTTAAATGTTTGGTTTAGTGGGAAACAGCTGCATTCAAACAGTTGTGTCCTGTGGCCTCTGGAAACCGCCACTGTACACTGGCAAGACAGCGAGAGAAGACTCTTGGTGTTAGAGCGGAGACAGTGTTGGCCTTGCAGGGCCCCGGTGAGCCCCAGCTCTGTGCTCTAGACTGTTGAGCAGAGCTCTGGGGCTTGGTTGAGGTTTGCTCTGCTTGCTTAGCTTTGTGTTCCTTGGTTGTCCTTTAGAAGGGCGGGATCTTCTGAAAATCAGTGTCTGGATCTAATGGAGATCCAGTCTTCCCAGTCGTGCTCCACTCCAGCCCCGCCTGCCCCTTGCGGCCGTCCTGTGCAGTGTGGGGGACTGTGGGCCCCGGGCGGATGGGCGCACCCCGCGGTCTCCGCATCCAGAGCCCCAGGGGCCTCGGCGTGCATATCTCGGAGGAGCCAGGCTGGCCGTCAGCCCTTTGCCCGCTCCTTGGTGGTGTCCGCGCGTTACATCCGTGTCCTGCTGGCCGAGTGTGCCAACAAAGGCTCTCCCTGGCCCAACCCCAGTCCTTCGCCGCATAACTGCTGGCTGCCAGTCACCATGTTTCTGCACCGCTTCCCTCTGCCCTGTGTCCTGCCTGCCACGCTGTCTCTGCTGCACCCTACTTCCTGCCCCCGGGGCCGCTTGAGAGCTGGTGGGGAGACAGGAAGAGGTTGAGCCACTTGCCCTGTGACTGCACCTGCCCACCCACAGTTGAACTCAAACTCCCCATAAGTGAGGGATCCCGCAGTGGCATACGCCTGTCTCTAAAGTTAATCCACAGAGGTCTAGGCACTTCTGACTGGTACCCCGACATAGCGAGTGACTTTGAGTGCAGGTTTGGCTCCTACCTGCAGAACCGTGGTCATTCTAGAACTCATCCATGCCCGTGGGCATCCGCGACTCAGCTCTCATGATTCTAGGTCACGAGGAGTGCATGTCCTGTGGCCCTGTTAAGTTGTTGTGGCGACTTGGCCGACTGGTAATTGGGTGATGGGGAACCCAGATTTGGTTCCATAGAGGAAGCCTGGTAATGGACTACCCCATCCAAGGGGTAACAGACTTGGTACTCGTGACCCAAGGGTGGGGAGGCAGTGATGAAAAACAGCACTGGTCTATGGAGATTTGGTAGTTGGAATGAGTCCACTTAAAATCCTTTCAGGCGGATCCATTGCATGGCAAATCTAGTACCTGTAGCCGGGGTGATGGTGGTGTAGTTGCTAAGTCGTGTCTGACTCTTGTGACCCTGTGGACTGTACCAGGCTCCTCTGTCCCTGGGATTCTCCAGGCAAGAATACTGGAGTGGACTGCCATTTCTTTTTCTAGGGGGTCTTTGCGACCCAGGAATTGAACCTGGGTCTTTTGCATTGCAGGCAGATTGTTTACCGACTGACCCATGAGGGAAGCAGCCGAGGTAATCTCCAGCTTCAATGGCAGGGTGTTGAGTTCGGTGCAGTTAAAATACTGTGTGATCTGCCGCACGGGTTTACGGATGGGGAGCCTCTGCCCCTATCCCCATGTCCTGCTTCTCCTTGCCCTCCTGGCTCCTAGGCTAGTTTTCCTGGGCTGAAGTGAGGGAGCTGCCTGCCCAGTGCCGCTGGAAATCACGGCATGGGACTGTGGTTCTGTTTTGTGTTGGAACTTTGCGGAGGCCGATTAGACATGAAGGCTGGGACGTTTCTACTGCACCGCTGGAGCTCAAAGTCTTAGATCGATGCAAAACGGACCAGAGTGAATGCTGTTGCCATGGATGTTTTTATTAATTAAGGATGAAGGTGAAAAAGGGAGGTTTGAAGAGATTCTGATCCCATGTTCTCTCCATAAACGATGCCAACTGCCAGCGTTATTTCCGGTAATGTGCCGGTAGCTTACCGAAAGCAAAGTCCTTCCAATGATGGTAGCTTCAGTGTCTGGTTCTAGAGAATTTGAAGATGCAGTAGTGCAATCTATGCTTAATTTGATACAATTTGGATAACTCTACAGCGACTCCATGGGAACCAGGATTGACAATTTTGGTAGATTTTTCCTGGGTGATGGTGAGTTATGAGTTTCTGTGTTGCTGGAGTGATTTGTCTGGTTTATAGATAACAGAGAGACTAGTGTGCTAACCATAGGTTACCCTGAGCGCTTGATAGCCTTAACTTTGACAAATATTGCTTAGCCGCCCAAGATTGAGCAGTCACAGTTCTGTGCTGCTCTCTGATGCTCTTAAGTGGCCCAGAACCGTACCACACTGCTCAGCATGTGTGCTTCCAGTCGGATGGGTGCTGGAGGCTCATTATTAAATCCGTTAGAGAGAGGCTCTGGGTTGCAGCTGTTACTCGTTAGTGAGGAACTCACTGTAAGAGTAGATGAGAAGCTTGCGTCATGTCCCTGCCCCATGTCCACACTGCCTATTGCCCCTCACTTTCCCACCTTGGGGTTGGTATTTGGCCTTGGTGGTTCGCTGAGAAGCCGTTCTAACTGAAAGTCACTACCAGGTTTTGGTAGGTGGTCCTGCGGAAGGACCACATTAATGAACGAGCGAGCTTGATGGCATGCTTTTAGTCCTCTGCACGTCACCTGCCACGCCAGGCAGACTGACCCTTAGAACCACTTAGGGCAGGAGCGTGAGGAGGAGCTGCTGCCCTCTGGCTGCAGACCCGTAGCCCTGCGCTCCTGTAGTTTCTGCTTAAGGCGGCGTCTGATTTGTTTCTCTCTGGCCTTCGTGGTCTTGGGGGGGCCCCCTCCACGCCCTGATTGTGTGTGTGTGTGTGTGTGTGTGTCTGTCTGTCTGTCTGTCTGTCTGTCTGTCTGTCTGTCTGTTACAGTGTCTCCCTCTGGTGGAGGGTTGTCCTCAGGGCCGCTCACTGCTGTTTCTCTAAGTCCTGAGATACATTTTTGTGAAGTTTAAACTTAGGACTGGACTTAGAACTTTAAATTGTTGGCAGAGGAGTGGTGATTGATTTTTGTTTATTTCTATCTATAGTCTGTTAGTTATGAGAGTGTGCAGTTTTAGAGCTTCCCCGGTGGCTCAGATGGTAAAGAATCTGCCTGCAGTGCAGGAGACCTGGTTCGATCCTGGAGTCAGTAAGATCCCCTGGAGAAGGGTGTGGCAACACACTCCAGCATTCTTGCCTGGAGAATTCCATGGACAGAGGAGCCTGGAGGGCTATAGTCTCTTGGGTCGCAAAGAGGTGGCATGACTGAACGACTAAGCACCATGCAGTTTTAAAGAAAACCACTGTTTCTGTCATTTTCAATTTTTATTTATTTACAGAACTCTCATACAAAGGAACAATTGACCTTTTTATATGATAGGGATTTTAAGTTTCAGATATATTTGGTTATCATCTTGATCACACTTTTTAGTTCTTCATGATGTTGATTGATGTTTTATGTAGTGACAGAGTCTTTGACAAGCAATATTTTAGTTTTTGGTGGTCTATTAATTTTTTATAAGTTACAACCAAAATAATTCAATTTTTCTTTTTTCATTAATAGACATATGTAGAGTGTGTCGGTCAGAAGGAACACCTGAGAAACCTCTTTATCATCCTTGTGTATGTACTGGCAGTATTAAGTTTATCCATCAAGAATGGTGAGTCGTCCTTCTGGAAAATTTTTGCCTGAGCTTCACTTGTCATCTGTATAAATAAGGGGAACTGTTTCAGTGACTTTTTCTGTAACTAGATATTTAAAAAATTTTTTACTGTGTTTGGAGATTATCCATATTCCTTATTACCACGCCATGTCATTTTGGTATATTGTCTTTTGCCCATTTGTTTGTTTCTACCGTGGAGAGCTTATATGTTCATGGGGAGTGTTATGGTTTTCTGGTTTTGCTTAGGATGGTTGTAGCTTACATTGAGGAAATGCTTTGTGTCGGAATATTCAGTGCTTCTATATGTTTTAGCTCATTTAATCCTTACAACAGAACTTCGAGGTGGAGTACTACGGTTACTCACATGAGGAAACTGAAGCAGAGAGAGGTTAAGCTCTCCGTGGCATTGCCCGTCGATTAGCGACAGGCCTGGCCACCAGGCGGCAGTGTTCTCAGACCAGTGTTAGAACCAATGCTGATGCTTGGAGATTCTTTTTATATTCAGTTATCTTTGAGGAGATTACAGTTTACATTAATTAATTGTTCAGTTTAATATAAGCTGCTTTTTAATAGTAGAAACACGTGTTTTTTAATCTTTGTTATAATTCTGTACTCTTCGAGGGCATCAGTGATAAAAAAAATTAAAGATAATCTGAATTTAAAATGTAAAAGTTCTGTGATATGTAAAACTTTAGTAAAGCAATATTAGTTTTCAGTGAAACCTTAAAATTTTGTTGTCATAAATACTATACTTATGAATATGTTTGTAATTGCAGCTTAGTTCAGTGGCTGAAACACAGTCGAAAAGAATACTGTGAATTATGCAAGCACAGATTTGCTTTCACACCAAGTAAGTTCTTCAGAAGTTTTCACTGCATTTCTGGGTTATAACTGGCTACATAAAGGTGTTTAAACAGTTTTAAAGCAACTATGTTCAATTTAATTTGTTTTTGATAGTAATAGAAAGTATTGCTGTAGCATTTTGGAAAGCATTTTTTAAAACTACATGTTAACTTTTAACACACGCATGTGTGATTTAATTTGCGAGATATTTTTTCTTTCTTTTTTATATTTTAGATGAGTTCAAACATATACAAAGGTATAGTGAACCTGTGTGTATCCATCACTCAGTTGCATCCATTTTCAACTCATAGCCCTTACATGTTGTCCCCTGTGCTCTTTAACAGCAAACATTTACTGCTTCATAGATTCTGTGGATCCGGAATCTGGACCCACCTTTGCTGGGTGTCTCTGGCTCAGCACCTCTCACACACTTGTAGCCAATCCGTCAGCTGGAGCCCCGGTGTCATCTGAAGGCTGGGCTGGGTGCTGTGGGCTGCGGGCTTTTCTGGAGTCGCTCGGGTTTGTGAGGGTCTGTCCCCTGCAGGCAGTTTCCTGGGGGCCTCTCTTGGTTGCACGTGGGCTTCTCTGGTGGTTCCCTGTGCTCTTGTTCCCACGTCTCCACCCTTATTACAGAAAATCCTATTTAGGATTTCATCTGTACATATTTTAGCATGTACCTCCAAGACAAGGGTTCTTTTTTAAAAAAAAAAATACAGCTATAATACCATTATTTACCAGAAAAGTGAGTAACTAATGATGCCTTAAATTTGTCAAATATCCCATCCCTATTAAAATTTGGGATTTTTTTTTGAGTTAAAATTGTGTTGGTTGTAATAATAACGACAAATATTTAATTCACTTTTTAAAAACAGGACTTTTTAAGCTCAGTATTTTGTAAGCCTATGGTAAATATTTTGCAGATCTTTAGAATTCCAATTATATTTTATAAGTCCTTTTTCTGTTGATTTATACTTAATATTATGTACCTTATAAATAAGTAGATGTTTATACTGGCAAGGTATCAAGAATTTGAAGCCTATTTTCATTCTGGGATCCTAGTACATTGCTCTTCTTCCTCTTCTGCACCCTCCCCCAAAGCTTTTTATGCTTTCATGTTTGTTTTAAGCATCTTGAACTGCTGAGTGTAAATTCTGTAAATTAGTGTTAATTTTACTTTGTTTTTATATAATTAGTTTATATGATTAAAATCATAACAATTTACCATTTGAATGTTGATTGTGCCAAAATGGGAGCAGGGAGTGGCTAACAGACCTCAACAGGCTGTTTGCTCCTGTAGGAAGTACTTCTGTTGCAGATTCTTGTGCACTGTGAGTGCTGCTGCTGAGGCTAGTATTGGGGAAGGGTTCTTTCTTAAGGACCTCTGTCAGCTTCACCTTTTGCTCCTGTATGCTTTATGTGATCTTTGATAATTCTGGAAACTAGTTGGTTATATTGTTTGAGTGCTGAAATGTGTGTGAGTTAGCCTTGCATAAAGTTCCTGGCTCTTGAGTGAGGGGGTTTGTACATCTCTTGAATCTTTTTTCCTGCTCAGAGACCTATTTTGTTGGCTTTTATATTTATGTGATTTGCTCTCATAAATGACTTATGGGTAAATGTAGTATTATGTTGTAACTATTTGAATTATTTTTCATATAGGACAAAATACTTAAGTGCAATGCAAAGGTCGACAGTTAGATAGTTCTATATGCCTACACAGTAACCTATTTTTGAATCTTCATGAAGTTGTGTGAACTTTTTCCTTTCCCCCCATTACAGTTTATTCCCCAGATATGCCTTCGCGGCTTCCAATCCAGGACATATTTGCTGGACTGGTTACAAGTATTGGCACTGCAATACGATATTGGTTTCATTATACACTTGTGGCCTTTGCATGGTTGGGAGTTGTTCCTCTTACAGCATGTGAGTATTCATTACCCTGTGGCTGGAGTTGTTTAAATATTACACAACTGTTTCATATAAGGTATTTTTGGTCAATGATGTTTATTAGATATTATAATGTTGTATATTAGGAAAGCCTCATTTGGAACATGTTATTTACCTGAATGAAAAACCATTTTTTAACATCTGAGCTTCTTAAATGAATGTGGGAAAGAAACACAGCTATACAGAGGCTAATAATGAAAGTTCATGAGAGAATTGAAAAAGCAAAATCAAAGCATAATTGAAAGGAAATTGAATTTTACTGAAGTTTATCAGAAGTTTGAAGTTTATTAGAGCTTTCAAAGATGGCAAAAGATGTATTCTTTTGAGTTTTTTTTTTAAATCCCCCTTTAAAAAACACATCCCCAATGGTCCTGAAGAATTGGGAAGTGTATTTTTCAACTACAGGAGTGCCTCTGAGAAATTGGTATACCAACTCTTAGTTGATTCTCTCTGGGTTCTTTGTGTTCTTAAAGACATGGGGAGGATTCAGTAGTGTGTGTGCCAGAGTATGTAGGCAGGATTCTTTAGAGTTAAATGCAAACAAAATTTTTACGTAAGTGTGATTAATATCCTCATATCTTCTTAAATAAGCTTGATGAGTTATGAAAATTTTATGAGAATAGCAGAATAGGTACTATTCACATGAAGAATGAATTAGTGAGCTAGAAGATTGAGCAAGGAGTTCACTAGGATGTGACTCAGAGATAAGAAGTTGTAAGTATGAGGGAAAAAATTGAGAGATGGAGGCCACATCCAGTTGTTTCAGTATCTGACTAGTAACTAATACCAGAAGGTGAAAGAGAGCGATCTGACTCTGATAAGGGAAAAAGGCAAAGCTAGGCACATTCTAAAGTTTTCCAGTGCTGAATAGGGTAGTGTATAGATATTAAGCTTTCATATTATCCTACAAAGTAATGAGAGTCAGGCTGGCTGAATGTTAGAAGACAGCTGACACTTCAAAATTTGATAAAACTTTTGAACCTAAAATCTTATACACGTAAATTATTCTCAGATAGAAGGACAAATGCAGACTTTTCAATAGAGGCAAGGAGTTGGAAAGTTTACTACTTCAAATTATTTATGAAATAGTGTTTGAAAACATATTTTACTAAAGAGAGCAAGGAATCAAAGAGAAAGGTGTGATTTACAAAGAAAAACAAGTACTTCTTACAGCTAAATTATAATTGTTGTTAATATACAATAATTGGAGTAGGAAATGGCTGCCCACTCCAGTATTCCTGCCTTAAAAATTCCATGGACGGAGGAGCCTGCTGGCTACAGTCCATGGGGTTGCAAAGAGTTGGACATGACTGAGCATGCATGCACTACCGTTTTTTAGGTGTCAGTCTGAAACTAAAATTCTGGGTGATCTTCACATGAAAGAACCTTGTGAGGGGAGGATAGAAATGAGAGCTTTTTAGATTGTTTGTCTTTCTTGTGGGGAAATTATAGATGCTTTAGACAAAACAAGAAAATACAGTGCAAATATACATTAAAAATAAAGGCATAGCTAAGTAAGAGTCCAGAACTAGCAAAGTGATTAAGAGTAGAGGTGCCACCACTGCTCAGGGGCAGAAAGATGACCATTTCAATAAGCAGTATAAGCATCAGCCGGTTGGGCATACGGAGAAAAACGAACCACACCATCACCTCCCACCTGACCCAAGTTAATTTTAGATAGATCATAAGTCTGATTGTGAACATTAAAATTAAAGAATTTCTAAAAGATAATATGTTAGAACAACCGTAAAAGAATGAGAAATTTAACTTAATTAAAGTTAAGGTTTTTCATTCATGCTCAGATACCCTTAAGAGAGAAAGGCAAGCTACAGAGTGAGAGAAGGTATATGCAGTTCACATATCTAACAAAGGACTTGTATCCAGGATATATGCAAGGATATTTAATAAAAGAAGTATTAAATCTAAGAGAAAGGCAGACAAGCCAATTAAAACGTGGACAGCAGATGTGAATAGGTGTTTCTGGAAAGAAGATTAAATAGCCAGAAAGCACATGACAAGACAAGCCAATTAAAATGTGGACAGCAGATTTGAACAGGTGTTTCTGGAAAGAAGATTAAATAGCCAATAAGCACATGAAAAGATGCTCAGTATCATTAGTCATCAGGGGAAGGTACAAGAAGGTACTCTACAGAATGAGCAGAATGGCTGAAGTTTAGGAAAAAAGACAGTGCCAAATGCTTTTTATTAGGATGCGGATCATCTGAAACATGTATTCATCAGTAGTGATGAATATAAATATTGTATAACCATCTTGGAAAGCTGTTTGGCATTATCTGTCAGTGGTTAATATTTGAAATACACTATGACCCAGCAGTTCTATTTCTGGGCATATTGATTACAGGAATATTCACAGGACACTTGTGTATAGTAGTGTGATGACTGTAGCTCTGCAGATAGCAGTCTAAAACTGGGGCCAACCAGGTGGCAGTAGAATGGATGCTGCCCACTCACCCCTGTAGTGGGGTTCCGCACGGTGATGACGGAAGGGCTGGCTCTCTGACGTGGGGTAACATGGGTGAGCTTCACTTCTTTGAGAGAAAGAAGCCAGCCACAAGAGTATGAACTGTATGACTGCATTTATGTGACGTTTTAAAATAGGCAAGCTGATCGGCAGTAATAGAGATCAGAATAATGGTTACCTTGTGCTGGCAATACTGACTGGGAAGCGGCTTGAAGGAGCCTTCTGGAGAGCTAGAAATGTGGGGAATCTTATCTGGGTAGCAGTTACTTAGATATATAGTGATGTAAAAATTCACACAGATAAACCTAAGATTTATGTGAATTTTACCTTAAAAAAAAGTAACAAAACTTAAAGGTAACCACTCGGAGAATAGAAGTAAGATAGTGAGTTTTTATCCCAGGGAGTAGGAATAGGAGACAGTGAATAAAATTTGAAGTCCAACAAAGGACAGGAAAGACAAGAAGGGAGGACAGAGAAAGAGGAGTGAAAGTGATCACAGTAGCTGTGATAACTGTGTACGTATGAAAGTGTTCCACTATGAGAAAGAAGTACAAAACAGCCGGGGCTGTTGTTAGAGAGATTTGTTAGCTAACAAAACACAGGAACAGTATTCTACCAGCCAGATATTCTTCAAGATGAAACACTTTAAATGAGGAAAAGCATTTTATTTCATATTAATAAAAGAAAACAACACTTTTTATGCATCAGCAAACAGGACTTAGAATGTAAAACATTCACAGTGATAGTGAAAAACTAACACACTTCTCTGAAATCAGTAGATCAAATAATCAAAAGTTAAGTAAGGACATTGAGGATTTAAGTAACAGGTAACAAGCTTGCTTTCTGTTCTGACTTGTTTACACATACACTCACACACAATTAAAATCTATGTCATACTTCTTTCTTTAAGTTAGCAATGTACCCATGACTGTCTTCATGTAGGAAGGTGTTGAACTGCCCTATTTTTAAGCACAGTAGTAAGGAGGCCTTTAATTTATGAATCTATTTTCTTATCTGCAGACAATTGGCCTTCTGTCAGTTTTACTTTGCTATAAACATACTTGCTTTGACTATTTTATACTCAGATGTAAGCAAATTGTGTTACAGAAAACCTTTTCCTATCTTTCTATTTTGACTTGACATTTGAAAACAGCCATTGAAGTTACTGTAAATTTTTGGTACAAGGCTATAGAGGATGCTTAAACTAACACACAAGTACTGGTTTGAAAGAAAACCTCAACTTTTGGGCCTCATTTCCAAATCTATTCCTGCCTATTCTGGTAAGAGGATAGGGGATGGCTATATATTGGCCCTTACTTCATATTTTCCCTTCGTGGCCAGGTTGAAGATTTTGTCCTTTTGAAGACCCTTGAATTTGTGTTTTTAAAAAATTGGTTGTTAGTTAGCTCTTCATAGCATTGAAGCATGCAGTCTACTGAAAAGTCCTTTTAATTTCAAAAAGCATGTACCTCCAAAACTTCATTTTCATGAGCAGACTCAATGAATTTTGGAATTCTAGGTTAAAAAAAAATTCTCTGTATTATAATTTTGGAGATCTTTTCTGGATTCCTCCCCCCTTTTTTCTCAAACATCTAAGCTTATTCAGTAAACACAAGTAAATCTAGAGAGAATCTAAACTTTAAGCATTATTGTGTAACACTCTTTACTATCACTATTTTTAAAGCTTTTTTTTAGTTTAGTATTTTGAGACTCAGACTTGCAAAGGCTGTGTATCTCAGTGGCATCCGCAGCCACTGCCGCTTAGCCGGGTGACCGTGGCTTCCGACGAGAGCTGTGACCGTGTGCTGTCGCGCCCTTTCTTGGCAGGCCGCATCTACAAGTGCTTGTTCACTGGCTCCGTGAGCTCCCTCCTGACGCTGCCACTGGACATGCTGTCCACGTGAGTATTGAACCTCTTGGCGGTGGAAGCCCGCACCCTGGGAACGGTGCTTGTCTTTTCTTCCACATGCTTGGGTTTGTTGTGATTTGAAAAGTCCTTCTATTCCTCTTACTTATTCTAACAGCTATAGGGGAAGCAACTGATATATGTAAATGCTGTTTTAAAACATACCATCTTAAAGGAGTATTTGGTAATGGTGGGAAAGCTAGTTAAATAAGCTGTCACATAGTGCAAGACAATGTGTTACTTCATGTAGATGCTGAGAGTTCCTTTAAATGTGTTTTTAACAACACAGGCATTTGAAGTCAGATATCTTTTTAAAATGTTTTTTGTGATTGTTAGGATATGAACTCTAAAAACTTATTGACTGTAGCCTTATTGTATTTTAATTTGACATGAAGCTTTATAATTGCAGTTTCTTGGGAAAGACATGTGACCTATATTTTTATTATTGATGTTAGAATTAGAAATGCTGTGAATGATTAACTGTATCAAGATCATTAGAATATTAAGCTTGCAAAAGATTGGATCTCTGTTTGCTAAATCTTCTTTTGTACCCAGCTGATCTTAGGTTTCTGATCCCTATTCAGTAAAGGCAAAGAACAGTGTAAGACTGTCTTTTAGAATAGAGGCATTCAGATTATATTATGAAAACAAGCCAAATGACAACAGAAGAGTGCAGGAGAGTGTTTCATTTCTGATCAACAAGAAATCAAGTCTCTGCATCGTTATTTTGAATTACTGTTGAAAATACGTAGAAACATTAGATATGTCAGCAACTTGGGTTTCCTGCTTGCTGGTTTACCTTTTTGGATAGAACAGACAAGTTATTTATTTCTGTTTCTTTGGCAGTATAGGAAACAGAAAAGGTTTTGAACTTTATTCACATTAGAACAGCTTCTGAAGTAATGTTCATAAGTAGACAGGAATCTTGGAAATAGGGCATTAATGGCTGTGGCCATGATAAAAAGGAGAAGCAGTGATTTGACACACTTGAGAATTTAGAAATAGTGTAATATTACCCTTTGTATGAAAATACTAACCTGTGAAGTGATTCAGTGGAAATAAATATGACAGCATTCCTATATCTGTACATCAGATTTTTATCTCAGCCATCCAGAACACAATTTTAGTATGGAGGCAAGGAAAATCAATCTTAAATGGCTGAAGTGTCATTCATTATGTCTCTGTATTTATGACATAACTCACCTCTGGCTTTCCTTTAGAAATTGTATAGTAAAGAAAAGCTCATGTTAGAAGTATCAAGGGAGGTCAGAAAAAAGCTAAAAGTGATGGAAGTTACATTTTAACATCTATGAAATAATAAAATAATTGTTTCAAACAGGGTGGTCTTGTTCCATTTAGTTTGAGGCTGAGTTGTATTTATCATTGTAGCTTTTGAGAGAACAGTGTAGCAGCCAGTCAGTATCCCGGTTGTTTAGAAAAGATGACTTGAGGTCCCGTGTGTGCTGTTCAGTAAAGTGGGGTGTATTCCTTCTTTTATGATTTCTGTTTTGAGTGGCAAAATACGTTAATATTTACCAAAGCTTAAATTGGGAGACTTGGGCTTTGTGGAAAACCGGGTGCTTATGGAAACCACCATGTCAGTGAAATTTTAGGATTTTGGTCTCAGGGCAGTATTCTACTTGCCTACCACCTTTACTGCTTGTTGGTGGGACCGTTAAACATCTGGTTGTTTGGCTGGTGTGATCATTTAGGTGGTGCACTGAGATTGTAACAGAAGGAACCCTGGCCCTGGAATAGAGTTGCAACTTTTTGGTGACCTTGGGCAAATCATTGGACAGTTCTGAACCCTTATTTCCTTATCAGACAAAATTCACATAAGTTTTTACATGTTTTTGTGAATTTAATCTTCGAACAGCCCACTCTTCAAAGTGGGCTGCACCCCACTCCCTGAGGCACATTCAGAGATTAAATTCACAAATACATGTGAAAACCATGTGTGAATTTTGAGCACTGTGTTAATCAGTAGCACAGTTACCACCAAACTCAGAGCTTCTGGAAGCCTTAGGTTGGCAGACTCCCCTTTTTACGCCAGCCTGATTGGTTAGGGCCACGCCTGAATTGCCTTCATGAGCTTCCTCACTGACACCGGAAAATGCTAGAGGCTCAATGGTGATTGTCAAAAGAAGTTGTAAGCGTGGGTAGATTTTATAATCTCATGCTGCCTTTTAGAATTTGAGGAATTGAACCAGTTTTTCTGAAAGCACTTAGAATTAGATCACTTATTTTTTCTGAGTGATGTTTAATTTTTCTCTATAGAATATATTTTCTGAAAGTTTACTGAAAATTTCTTAATACCTTAGTAGGCACTACATATTCCATAGCTGAGGTCTTCAACATCTCAAGGCCCAGTCTGTCAGTTAACTGTTACTACAAAACATGCTGTCTCCAAAACTCAGTGCCAAAACAGCAAGCATTTTGATTTGCTCATAATTCCAGGGGTTAACAGTTTGGGTTGGGCTCAGCTGATCGGTTTACCTGTTGGACTTGCCTCAGTTATGCCTGTGTGTCACTGGGGTGGGATGGTCTAAGGTAAGGTACCTTGGTTCTTCCATATGACTTCTCTTCCAGAAAGCTAGTGGGGCTTCTTTACATGGTGGTCTCAGGGCAGCCTTCTAAAAGGGTGAGGATGGAAGCTTGAAAGCTCTTTTCTAGGCTTTGGAACTCAGGAATTCTCACTTATGGTCCAGATGGTTCCCAAACCAGCCCAGAATTAAGATGTGAGGGAAAAGGAGAGGATTCTACCAGGAGTCTGTCACTGTTTAAAGTCTGCGGTGACTGGTTGCTGTTCTTACTACTGGTGACAAGGCAGGAGTCAAGAGAGGTCCCCGCCTATCAAAATTTTAATGGTCTGGAAGGTTCCTTACCAGGGGGGGGTGATTATCATTCCTCTTTCTATTAAGATATATTCCCGATAGTATCTGAGGACGACATTATTTCAGTTTGGAGCTTAAAGGCCGAGGTCTCCCAAATTGACCCTTCCTTAAGTCTCCATGAAGGGAAAAATGTCATTTTGTTATGGTAGTGAATTTTCCAAAGGCTCCCAAAATTCTTGAGTTACCTTTGAATTATTTTAAAAATCAGACATAGACCAGGGAAGGATATGCTCCTTCAGAGAAGAAAAGAACAAAGACGTGTTCAGTAGTGTAATACTCTTGTATTGTCATGTGAATTGTACATGATCTGTCAGAATTTGTTGAGAAGCTAATATACATTTAGTATATTTGCAGTTAGCATCAAAATTCAGTCTCCTTTCTAAATGAGGCATTGGTAAAGCTTACCACAGGCTTCTTGCCTCACATGTTGTATACTGTGCGTCTCTCAACCTTCCTATTGGACCTTACTAGAGGGTCCTCTTTTTGATTTGCTGATTCTGTTCATTTTCATGGGTTTAAGTATAAGCCAACCAAATTGGTTAAACTTGTGTATAACATAAGGATAAGGAAATTCTTAGTAAGTGTTGGGCAGAGTCATTTATCTTTAGTAAATTCACGCATTGTCAATACCTTTGTCAAGTATTTGACCACTCTTATTTTTTGCTGACTGCCTTCATTTTTCTCAGTCATCCTCAAAGAGAGGCTGGCTAGCTGGTTTATGTAGTTCTGATGTTATTCTTTGCCTTCTATAATATAAACATATATAATACAAATATATAAATAAATATATTTGACAATCTTATAGATAAAGTGCCACCATCCTCAGAAATAACTCTTTTTGAGAGACTGATTTTCATCAAAAAGTTACCACTTTTCTGGCTGTTCTTTCTAGATTTTTGTATAAAGTGAATGTTGTTACCTTTGGTTCCTTAACTTGAAGTGTTCTTTGGAGTAATTCTATATACCTTTTTTATAAAACAGGGACAACTTGTTGGCAGATTGTTTGCAGGGTTGTTTTGTGGTGACATGCACACTGTGCGCGTTCATCAGCCTGGTGTGGCTACGAGAGCAGATCGTCCATGGGGGAGCCCCAATATGGCTGGAGCATGCCGCTCCGCCCTTCAATGCTGCTGGGCATCACCAGAATGAGGTAAGCCCCTGCGTCCCTGAGTTCATTTGATCTGGGTGGCACATAAGAATTATTGTTCCCCTCCAGGATCCAAACCCTTGACTCCCATGTCCCGCATTGCGAAGCAGGACACTGACAAGGTTTGGGAGAAGTTTAAGGGAGACGTGAAAGATCAGAAGCACGTGGCTGTGACTTTGCCTGTTAGTTTCCTAGTGAGACTAGGAGCAGTATTAGGTTGTGTACCAAGTGCGCCTTCGTTCCCTTCGCCTGGGCTCACAGCTGCCTGGAAGTTAATATCCAAATCTCCTTCATGTCCTTATGATGTGCTCCTTAGCATTAAAGAGGCCCCTTGCCCTCTTTGTTCATTAGTTCCCTCGTGTGTAAAACAGCTCACCTTTGTCTTGGTAGGAACATTGCCAAAAGTAGACAAAAGGAATATTGTTGATAACAGTCTTGTACAGTTTTTCTTTTTCTTAATGGGAGATGGCATGCAAGATCAAGAGCATCTGCTTGAGGCATTAAGAAGAGGACAGTATGATAAATGATTTTTAGTCTCTTGTTTACTGAGAAACTACAGGGCTAAAGATGTAAAAGAGACAGAAGTTGACACAGACAAAAACAATTTGCACTTTGTAAAATGTTTATTATGAAAAAATTGACTGTAAAATTAACTCTATAAATAGTTAACGACAGTTTTTCATTTAAGTACCTTAGCTTTTTCTCATGTTAGGATTAATTTCATCAAATTCCGCCATACCCTTTTCCTACAGATTTAAGGATACAGCTTCTTTGAAAACTACACGTATGAAGAAATGGTACTATAAAGCAGGCATGCTTTTTGTAACCTAGTGTTAATACTTCATCATTGTATCTCATATTTGAAGCATTGACCACAGTTCTCTTAGAGTCTTCATTACCTTTATAGGAGTTCAGTGTTTTAATTAACTGCAGCTGAGTCTTTGTTGCATTTGGTGGGTTGCAGAATTCAGCAAGAGGCAGAGAAGTCAGTGTGTGGGAACTGATGACGTTTCTGTGGACAGGCTTAACCTGCAGTTCAGACATGAGAAATCTTTCCTCAGCTGTTAACTGATGACAGAAGTTATATATCAGTATGTGTGTAAACAAGCAAGTAGAGTGCATAAATACATTTTCATCCCTGAAGTGATCAGTAAAAACAAGAGATTGCCTTATAAAGAAGGATTATGAAATGATGTATTCAAAATAGCCAGATTTGTTCATGTATTTTCTATAATGCTTTGTGAAATGTTAATCTCTAAATTATACCAAATGAACGTGTATACTGTTAAGTGAGTTTGTGTTCTTATATTACCAAGTTGGTCCAGACTCAGATACATGAGAAGAGATGCCCTTAAGATCTGATTTTTTTGGAATTTTAGTAGAGTTTTTGTCTGTTTGCTAGTTTTGTTTTGTTAGAAAGGAGGGTGCAGTTTGGAAATACAGCAAAACTGAGACAAGTTAGCCAAATTTCTGGTCTGTCATTTCAGGCTCCAGCTGGAGGAAATGGTGCTGAAAATGCTGCCCCTGAGCAGCCTGCTAACCCCCCAGCGGAGAACGCGGTGGTGGGGGAGAACCCTGATGCCCAGGATGAGCAGGCGGAGGAGGAGGAGGAGGAGAACGAGGAGGAAGATGACGCAGGCGGCGAGGATGCAGCCGACGCCAACAACGCCGCGCAGGGTAATGGCTGTGGCCTGTCCCCACCCTTCACCAGCCTTGAGTCCCTCCCCACTCCCCGGGGGGGGGGGCTGCAGTTCTTAAAACTTTATGGGCTTGAAGTTCTGTTTCTAACCTGATTTTACTTTATTTTAGCAGACTTGCATTTATGAGCATTCATAAGCATGACATTCTTTTTAGCTATGAAGTACATGTTTTGTGTTTTAAGATTCTTCACACAGGACTTTTTATAGGATGGATACAAAGAAGTTATTTGTAAGTTGGAGTAGATACTATATTTTTAAAAAAGGAATTTACTACCATTTTATCTTATTTCTTTGCCACCTTTATTGAGTCAGTGCAACTTCTCTTATTAAAGAAGAATTCTTGAAGTGTATTCTGCAGGCCAGACATCACCCAGAGAAACTCATTTTCTGTCAGTATGTAAAAATTCTAGAATGTAAAAGAATGTCTGAGACTAGCCCACCAGTCAGCTGTCAATAGTTCACCATGTTCTTTTCTCTCTCTGGTCCCAGAGGCTTCCTGTCAAGTGCTGCACTGTCTCTGGGCCCACTTAGCATTGCTGAGTGTTCCCTCTGCACCAGGCACGCAGACACCAGGTCCTTGCCTTCCTGGAATTTCTAGTCTAGTGATGAAGTAGAAATATCCAAATGAGGAAGTCTGTTATTACACAGTGTGATAAATGTGCAGCTTGCTCTGAGGGTGCTCCTGAGGAGAGACCTGTTTGAAATAATTCCCTGGGTAGCTGAGAGTAAGTGATACCTGAGCTGTGGCTTGAAGGATGAAAGGAAGCCAGTTGTATAGTGGGAGCAAGGGGCCTTTGGAGGGAGAGGTGGGTGTATGTTGAGAGGCTCTGAGAGTGCAGCTGCAGTGCCCCAGTGACGACCCTGGTTTCCGTCTGTTGTCTCATGCAGTGGGTCCTGCCTGGACCCTCTTCCCTTCCTGTTCCACACAGTGTTTGTACTGATCTCTTGCCCTTAAAATCTGTCAGTGATTTCCCCATTACACTAAAGAACAAAATAAAATCCAGGCTTCACTTCCCTTTTGTATCAATAAGATTCTATCCCCATCTGTCTTTCGTAATCATCCTCTACCACCCTCCTCCTTACCCAGAGAGTTCTAGTTGCCTGGGTTCTTCACTTTTCTCAAATTCTTGATGCAGAGCTGTTGAATTCCTCTATTTCACATAATCCTATTTATATCCTTTCTAGCACTTATGTCACAGTCTGGAATTATCTAATTTATTTTGTATGTTGTGTTTATGTTTTTTAAAAATTGCCTAACTAGATAACTCAGTATGGAAAAATTTTAACTTTGGTTTAGCCTGTTTTAACTGTTGTGTTTAACAACAGTTATAAAACACTGTTAAACACAACTTAAAATGTTTTATTATTTATTAAACTCACATTCCAGAAGTAATATTTAAATTGTATTTCCAGATGACATGAACTGGAATGCTTTAGAATGGGACCGAGCTGCGGAAGAGCTTACGTGGGAGCGAGTAAGACGTCTGTCTATTGCGTGTCCTAGTGTTTCAGTTCTAACGTGTGTTTTCAGGTTGGCGTGTTTAGATGGATACGCTGATTTTACAGTTACATTCGATGAAGACAGTTACCAGAACTTCAGTTTCTAGAGGAAATTAAGTGATACACTGTGATGAAAATAGTATAAATACTATGATAAAGATCTATTAATGCCTTTTCTACCTTTTGGTACAAACCTTGTTTCACTTATGAAATTTGTAACTTGAAATTCTAGACTTTTGAAAATGAAGTAGCAATTTAAATATAAGTATTATTCTGATATTTCAGTTAACAAAACAGTACAGTGTATCATGAAATCTTGACTGGCTCCATATCTAATGTAAGAATAAAAATCCAAGGTGGAATTTTTTTTAACTTGATATAATTTGGATTAAAAGGAGATCCAAAATATAAAACTCCTACGATAAGTTTTTCAGTCTCTGAAAATGATAGGCTCTTTTGGAAAGTAGTGGGTAAATATTATGTTTAAAGATATTGAGAGGAAAATGAGCTTTTTTCATAAATAAATATTTATTTTTTAATAAAATTTATTTTCATAAATAGATGAAAATCCTGTTGAATCTTGACTTAATGCTTATTATTTATTTTAGATGCTAGGACTTGATGGATCACTAGTTTTTCTAGTAAGTAAAGCTAATCTTTTTTAATAGTAGAATTGTAACTTTGTCTTAGTGATTCAGTTATCTCAAATTTACAATATATGGTTGCTTTTTATACTAAGGTCAAAATGCCCTTTGATTTTTGATTACTTGGTGTATTGAAGAAAGTCTTTTTTGTGTATTGAAAATATTGGCAAAGCATAAAGTTAACACTATCTAAAAAGGAAATTATTAAAAATATTTGAATTTTAGAAAAGAAAATGAAATACGAAGTTGATGATAATTCAAAAAACTTGGCCTTCTTTTAATGTCCCAGCTTGCTGTGTTTTAATGCCTGAACTGGTGAAAACAGAGCAGCTTTGAGATGTTCACAGAGAGAGTCCTGTTTGCTGAGCCTCACCTATGTTTACCTTAACAATAAAGAGTACCACTCTAAGGAAGAGAGCAGTTCTTCGAAGAACTTGCTCTTTAAGGTGAAATGATGTTTTTTCCAGGTTCTGTGATATAAAGTCACAGAACTTGCCCTTTGGGATTTTTAAATAGCTTTGGTTATCAAGATAACTTTGGCTGCAAGTAGCCAAACTCCAGCTGACTAAAACTATTAACGTAAGAGGAAGTCCATAGGGAGGATTGGCTTCAGGTGTGCTTGATCCAGGGGCCCAGCAATATCATGTACCCAAATAATTTCCCTCTGCCGTCCACAGTATTGGCCCTCCTCACACTGCCTCTGGATGGAGCCAGAATAGGAATTGAGGCTCATAGCTTGAGGATTTGAGCAACATATCTGATGATAATTCTCAGATTAGTAAGAAGGTTATATTAGTGAGCTCCTATTCAAGGTTAGATCAGTCAGTTTCAATAGTTCTCAGATTAGTAAGAAGGTTATATTAGTGAGCTCCTATTCAAGGTTAGATCAGTCAGTTTCAGTTCAGTTCAGTTCAGTCAGTCGTGTCAGACTCTCTGCGACCCCATGAACTGCAGTACGCGAGGCCTCCCTGTCCATCACCAACTCCTGGAGCCTACCCAAACTCATGTCCATTGAGTCGGTGATACCATCCAACCATCTCATCCTCTGTTGTCCCCTTCTCCTCCTGCCCTCAATCTTTCCCAACATCAGGGTCTTTTCAGATGAGTCAGCTCTTTGCACCAGGTGGCCAAAGTATTGGAGTTTCAGCTTCAACATCAGTCCTTCAACACCCAGGACTGATCTCTTTAGGATGGACTAGTTGGACCTCCTTGCAGTCCAGGGGACTCTCAAGAGTCTTCTCCAGTACCACAGTTCAAAAGCATCAATTCATCTGCACTCAGCTTTCTTTATGGTCCAGCTCCAACATTCATACATGACCACTGGAAAAGCCATAGCCTTGACTAGACAGATCTTTGTTGGCAAAGTAATGTCTCTGCTTTTTAATATGCTATCTAGGTTGGTCATAACTTTCCTTCCAAGGAGTAAGCGTCTTTTAATTTCATGGCTGCAGTCACCATCTGCAGTGATTTTGGAGCCCAGAAAAATAAAGTCAGACACTGTTTCCACTGTTTGCCCATCTATTTGCCATGAAGTGATGGGACTGGATGCCATGATCTTAGTTTTCTGAATGTTGAGCTTTAAGCCAACTTTTTCGCTCTCCTCTTTCACTTACATCAAGAGGCTCTTTAGTTCTTCAGTTTCTGCCATAACAATGGTGTCATCTACATATCTGAGGTTATTGATATTTCTCCCAGCAATCTTGATTCCAGCTTGTGCTTCCTTCACCCCAGCGTTTCTCATGATGTACTCTGCATGTAAGTTAAATAAGCAGGGTGACAATATACATCCTTGACGTACTCCTTTTCCTGTTTGGAACCAGGCTGTTGTTCCATGTCCAGTTCTAACTGTTGCTTCCTGACCTGCATACAGGTTTCTCAAGAGGCAGGTCAGGTGGTCTGGTATTCCCATCTCTTTAAGTAAATTTTCCACAGTTTATTGTCATCCAGACAGTTAAAGGCTTTGGCATAGTCAATAAAGCAGAAATAGATGTCTTTCTGGAACTTTCTTGCTTTTTCAATGATCCAGCGGATGTTGGCAATTTGATCTCTGGTTCCTCTGCCTTTTCTAAAACCAGCTTGAACATATGAAAGTTCATGGTTCACATATTGCTAAAGCCTGGCTTGGAGAATTTTAAGCATTACTTTATGAGTGTGTGAGATGAGTGCAATTGTGCAGTAGTTTGAGCATTCTTTGGCATTGCCTTTCTTTGGGATTGGAATGAAAACTGACCTTTTCCAGTCCTGTGGCCACTGCTGATTTTTTCAAATTTTCTGAGCTATTGAGTGCAGCACTTTCACAGCATCATCTTTCAGGAGTTGAAATAGCTCAACTGGGATTCCATCACCTCCACTAGCTTTGTTCGTAATGATGCTTCCTAAGGCCCACTTGACTTCACATTGCAGGATATCTGGCCCTAGGTGAGTGATCACCCCATCATGATTAACTGGGTCATGAAGATCTTTTTTGTACAGTTCTTCTGTGTATTCTTGCCACCTCTTCTTAATATCTTCTGCTTATGTCATATCCATACCATTTCTGTCCTTTATTGAGCCCATCTTTGCATGAAGTGTTCCCTTGGTATATCTAGTTTTCTTGAAGATACCTCTAGTCTTTCCCAATCTATTGTTTTCCTCTATTGCTTTGCATTGATCACTGAGGAAGGCTTTCTCTTCTCTCCTTGCTATTCTTTGGAACTCTGCATTCAAATGGGTATATCTTTCCTTTTCTTCTTTGCTTTATGCTTCTCTTCTTTTCTCAGCTATTTGTAAGGGCTCCTCAGAGAGCCATTTTGCTTTTTTGCATTTCTTTTTCTTGGGGATGGTCTTGATCCCTGTCTCCTGTACAATGTCACGAACCTCTGTCCTTAGTTCATCAGGCACTCTGTCTATCAGATCTAGTCCCTTAAATCTGTTTCTCACTTCCACTGTATAATCATAAGGGATAGAAGGTTGCTATTGTTTAGTCACCCAGTCGTGTTTGACTCTTTTGTGACCCCATGTACTGTAGCCCGCCAGGCTCCTCTGTCCGTGGGATTTTCCAGGCAAGAATACTAGAATGGGTTGCCATTTCCTTCTCTAGGGAATCTTCCTGATCCAGGAATTGAACCCATGTCTCCTGTATTGGCAGGTGGATTCTTTACCACTGAGCCACCTTTTGTCCTTTATTGCTTTCAATTTCTCATAGATGAGAGACCTTAAAGAAGGCATGAAAACACACTGGACACTGAAAGAGTGCTGTGCAGTTTACATTAATATGTTGTTCAGAAATAATCTGGTTTTCAAATTTTTCTTTATTTGGATATTTTAGTGTCATGTGATACAAGTGAAATCTGGTGTTTATGAGAATCTGTACAGTTCATGGTATATTATTAATTTCTGAAGAGGAAGTGTTTATGGATTAATTTGATTTTTTTAATATGTGACATTAAGAACTTCGAGTTCTTTAGGTTTAGTTTTAGGAGCTATCTGGAGATTTCCATGTGGTGCTAGGGGTAAAGAACCCACCTGCTAATGCATGATATGTAAGAGTTGCATGTTCGAGCCCCAGGTCAGGAAGATCCCCTGGAGGAGGGCATGGCAAGCCACTCCAGTTTTCTTGCCTGGAAAATCCATGGACAGAGGAGCCTGGCAGGCTACAGTCAATAGGGTCGCAAAGAATTGGACAAAACTGAGCAATTTAGCGCACACACATGAGCTATCTAATGAAAAATGAAAAGTTACTTGTAATTTCTGAATGAAATCTCAAGATGGCAGTAAAAATTTCAGTCTTCTTAACTAAGTGAATTAAATGTAAATCCAATAGGAGATGAATATGTCTTATTAATCCTTTTTTTCTTTAGGAACATGTCTTTTGGGTGGTGTCTTTAAACACACTGTTCATTCTCGTTTTTGGTAAGTGATGATTTGCTTTTATTTGTGGTATTATGATAGGAGTTTAGTTTTCCCGGACCTTGTTAGAGGCTTGGTTTAGTTTTAACCTTAAGAATACATGAGAGGCGTTTTCGACAGCCATCTGGCACAGGAAGGCCCTCGGCATGCAGGTCCTTTCTTCCCCAAGCAGCTTTGACTGCTCTTTCTGCCAGCTCTACTTCTGTTGGGCATTTCTGTCTCTCTGTAGCAGCTGGTTTTAGACTGGCTTGAGAATATACAGTGTCCCGCTTTCGAGATTAATTTTGTGCTGATTATCTGTGTGTGCTTTCCTGTGGCAGAGGTCTTGTTTTTAATCTGTTGAAAGTCCTGACCAAGCTCTTACCAGAGACGTTGGCTTGGGAGCTGTCGCAGAGAGAGATGCAGGTTTGAGGAAAGACAGTGAACTTAGCCCGAGTGTCACTCCCCTCAGAGCCAGATTCCAGTAATGCCGGGACTTCCGGACACTGCACAGCTGTAGCCGTGAGGCTTCTGTGACAGCGCTGAGTCCCTCCAGTTGGGAGTCAGGAGAGAAAGGAAGGCAGAGTTGATGTAGCTCACAGGTTTCTCTGCTTTGGGGGAAGATAGGGAAACTGAGTCAAGTAACTAAGGTTCCTCCAGCAGTTCTTCAAGGTGGAGTCTGATGGAATTGGGTCATTGTTAGACTGTGTTTGGGTGTCCTAGAGAGAGACTACAGGCTGCAGACTGACCTTAGAATCCTCTGAGTGCCTCACTGTCTGCTCCTTTCTAATTACTTCTTGATGACATCTGCTGCCTTGCTCCTTTGTCTCTGTATTTCCTCTAAACTGGAAGTTAGATCTAAGACCTGATTTGATTCAGGGTCAATACTTGTAGGACAAAACCTTCATTGGTCATGCATTGCCTGATGTCAGGTACCTGATGTCTGGTTCTCCACCTTTGTCTGTGGCTCAGGTATCTTGAAGCCATTATTGTTAGGTTTCATGTTTCCCTTTAACCACCAGAAAGTAATCTGTGGGAGGTGGTATTTTAGTATCATGCAAATATCTAGTGTTCCATCAACTTTTTGGCTAATAATTTTATTAGCCATTGATATTTGCCTGGATTAATTTATTAGGCATTGCAAAAATGATAATTTTCAAATTCTGTCACTTTAAAACATTCATTGGCTGGTCTTTTAATAAAGAAAAGCTTGTTCTTATCAGTTGGAACAATTTAGTTAATCTGAAGCAGCAGGTCAGATGTGCAGTTCTTTTCGTTTAATTATTAGCACAAACTGCTTTCCTTGCTGATAAACGTGTTTTGTGTTATGTTGCTTTTTTTCCTCTTGTGATTTTTGGCATTCCCTTTTTTGAATATTATGAACTCACAGATATGTATATATTCAGTGTTTTCTTTAGTTTTGGAGTTCTTTTTGATGCTCACAGCTTCTTCTCTTTGGCCTGTGAGACCCTTTTCACAATGGTTCTTGTGTCTTGTCACCATGAGCTTATTAGAGCTTGGTAACTTTTTTGTTCTCTGGTTCTAGAGAACACCACAGGCAGTACATTTTTGGTTCTGGGATCTTTCATTTCTCTAAGAACCCTTGTTCTTTTTAGTGGGGTTGGTACTAGGAGTGTTCATTGTTTTGATTTTGAAGTTTTCATTGAGCTTTTCCTCCCTTTTAGCATTTTGCCCTTACCACATCGGCCACTTTTCCCTTGTTGGTTTGGGATTTGAAGAACACGTGAGTATGATACTTTTACAAACCTAATTTTAGTAATTAAACCCCAAATTTGATGTATGTTGAGTAAGTAATAATATTGTAAAGAGTTACTTCATTTCTTTGCCTGCCTTACATGAAGGAGTAGTTATCCAGCACCATCTTGTTCACATCTTAAGCTAAAAGCAGCTCAAGACATAGAAGTGTTGGGAGGTGTGGGAGGTGTGGATAGTGTTCTCTGAACCTCTGTGAGGCACAGTCTTCCTCTCTGTGGAGCAGGCGGGAGACATGCTGTGCGGAAGCTTCCTTACAGACTGACCTTTCACCTGACCACTGGCTTGTGAGATCCGTTCTCTCCCTTTTCCCTAGTTGCCCCATAGTGAATTTAGAAAGGTAACGAGATATTAATCAGTTTTTAAAAATGTTGATGTGTCAGAATGACGAGCTGTGGTATCCTCTAAATAGTTTGCTCTAATTTTGACATTTATGGTTATTTTTCAGAGGTAGATGAATATTGGGATGGACAACTACTGTTTTTTGGGGGGGGTCCTCATAAAGAGTTAGTCCTTTAAGGACAGCTAGCATAGTTGGAACATTCTGGTCCATTTGTGTGTGTGAATCCTGAGAGATCACATTCTGAAGTTTCCAAAATGGCAAAGAGACATGTTCTGGTATTTAATACACCTCTCCAGATTCTCACTAGATGAATGAGAGAACTTGAAAAGTCAGATAAATACTTTGATACATTTTAATAGCACTTGTTTTGTGAAATTCAGTAACCAAAAGGTGAGCAGTGTTTGTCGCGATCCAAGCTCTTGCTCTTTGTAAGCTGAGAATGAAACAGATTTAGAGAGCAAAAACTGTAAATGTTGCAGTAGGAGACAGAGTAGCTTGGTTGCACGTGGCCGGTGGATAGCCCAGGCCGTGTGCTGCTGCTTTCAGCCCTCAGCCTTTAGTGGGTCCACTTCAGAGTGGACTAGAGTGCAGACTGTTACAGCTTCTTTATTTTTGTAAAATTCAATTCACTGTACTCTGATTTTGTCTGCTTGAGCAAAGTGTTGCTCTTTAACTTTTCCTCATCTTTTTGTAGTAAATTTCAGCCAGTGGGAGAATCCAGTTTGTTGTCATCCAGAGGGGATTTTATGGACGTTTTCTAGTTATAGGGAATTATATAGTCAACTTGGATTGTTTAATAAACATTGTTTAACGGATATAGGCCACGTAGTAAAATTAATATTTATTTTCTTTTGTCTAGGTCCAAGCATCACATTTTGAAGGCCTAATCACAACCATAGTTGGGTATATACTTTTAGCAATAACATTGATAATTTGTCATGTATCCTTTAATGAACAAGGTTGGTGTTCAGTAATGTTATTATTAACCCAAGAGTTGTTCTTATTAATGAAAACTATTTTTCTCCACTAGTCATTTTAGTAGAAGTTGTAGGTATTTGTAGTGAGGATGAGAGCATAAAAAATATGAGATAAATTAATTCTGTCTGTCAGATAGTACTAAGTGTTGCATAGTTACCTGTTTCATTGTATCTCTATTATTTTTAAATAAAGTTTTTTTTTTGTTGGAGTATTGTTGATTTACATGTGTTGTACAGCAAAGTGATTCAGTTATACATGTATATGCATTATTTTTGAAAATAATTCTTTTCCATTATGGTTTATCATAGGATATTAAATGTTTCTCTGTGCTGTACAGTAGGACCTTGCTGTTTATCTGTATCTTTCCTTTAATGTTCAGTTTTTCCTTGACAACATGCTGTAGGGGTTGGCAACTCTCGTTAAATTTCACAGGTCTCGTCGCTTGCTGGGAGTCTGCTATATTGTTGTGAAGGTAATTAATTCCTTTTTATAAGTTAGGACTGGAAATGCTTTCTCCCCATTTAGGTGATATTGATGACCTTTATTTTTACTTAAGGTCTCTTTGTTAGTGGTGGTAGAAATTGGAGTTTTCCCTCTCATTTGTGGCTGGTGGCTGGATATCTGTTCCTTGGTGAGTTTATTTTTCATTATCTAGTACAATCTAATAATTTAAAAGCTTTTTAAAAAGTCTTTAGAATGGGTTCCTTTTAATGGAAAGCCAGTATTTGATGATAATTTTTTTTTTGAGAATGTATCATTGTAGAGTCTTAATATTGCTAATTTTTCCTGAGTACCTGATTTTTGTGAGGTTTTGTACACATTTTTGATGTTAGAGTGTTTTGACTGGAACCTTTCTAATAACTAGTGAAGAATTTTCTTACTTGTTTAACTCTTCTCACTTTTATAAAGATGCCAAGATGTTATAAACCTAAAAAGAGTAAATCAAAGGAGTTCCCTGGTGGTCTGCTGGTTAGGACCCAGCGCTTTCACTGCTGTGGTCCAGGTTCAGTCCCTGGTTGGGAAACTCCTCAGAGAAAGAAAAAGGGGAAGAAAAGAAAAGCAATCTTATAAGAAGATTTATTTATAGTAATAAATTCAACCCTAACCATTGCTCAGTCTTGATTAAAATCCTTAATGGCTGTCAGTGATAATCAATTTCTTCTCAAAAAATAATTAAATATAGAAAAGCTGCCTTTTCTGAGGTAACATTTTCTCTCATACCATAGTATTAAAACCCACCATTAATTTAGATCTGTAACCAAGAAAAGGAGGTATTATGGTAACATAAGTGTTCCTTTCACAATAGCAGTATTGGTAAAGTTCTTATTCACAAATTGGTCTATCAGTATTGCCTCTTTTAAAATTTTCACAGTGTCATATATGTCTTTGAAATAGCATCCAACGTTAATGTTGTTTGTATTCCTGTGACACTATGAAATGCCTTTAAGAAAACTGTAATCCTAGAAACATCAGAACTTACATGTATGGTGATTCATTCACTTCCTAGAATGTGAAGATGTTAATTCAACAGAGGTAAGTGGTACAGATCTGTTTCACCTATTCTGTTTTGGTTTAGGAAATGTTTGATGCTACTCTGAAAGACCGAGAACTGAGCTTTCAATCGGCCCCAGGCACCACCATGTTTCTGCACTGGCTGGTGGGAATGGTGTATGTGTTCTACTTTGCCTCCTTCATTCTGTTACTGAGAGAGGTAAGTTCCACGGGGAGTGCCAGCATTGCACATTTACAGAAAGAACTTCTGCCCTAACCACATAGCCTGCCTTAAAGGCTATGATGATTTCCTAGCTAAGCCTTTTTCTCTTTTGCTTTTTTCTAAGAGGGAATAGCTATAGACTAGTTTGGCTCAATTGCTTTAAACCATTTTTTAGTAATTTGTCTCAAAAACTGGCAGGTTTTATTATTTCAGTCAGTTTGAAATATGAGTAGAGGGGAAAAATTAAAAGCATGTGTTTTACTTGGTATGTATTTTAACCATCTTCAAATACATGTTCTTGGAATTTTTTATGTGATGTGAGCCTGTTTTGGACTTCATCCAAGGACATGCTAGAAATACCCAAAGGGTATGGTTTCACAGGATCAGATATGTAAAATGGTCTTGAAGTCGTTTATACTCCATAAGTATAATATTATAGTGGGGGTCCTTTATGATTCTGGTTCAATCTCCAGATGGGAACTTTTACTAATCCTGTTTTCAGAATACGGTCCTTACTGATATGAAGACAGTAAAAACAGTGTTAGTACTTGACTAATATGCATCTCATGCTTAGTCATCTGGTGCAAAAGGAAGTATGAGACTTGAGTAATTGTAATAAATGTACTTTCTGCTCTGAATTCTTTCCCCAAATAGTACTATATACTTTGTGCCAGACTCTCTGCTGTATGCTGGGGTAATCATGAGAAACAAGGACAGAGTGTCTACTCAGTGTTACATTCTGGGAAGGAATACAGCCATGGAACAAGTCAACTTACTCCATTGAGAGCCGCATTGGAGAAGCAGGGCTGAAGGAGCAGGCTGGCGACTAGTCCAGTGTGAATGGAATACTAACACAAAAAGGCTTAAAGCTGTTCATGGTTACTCCACTCTTTTGAGAGATTTGAGGAGCTAGCAATGAGGCTGGGGTCCAAAATATTCTCCTGAAACATAAGAGTATAAGTTCAGTAAATTCTGTTTGCAAATAAAGCCTGTATTCTTGTTTTGAAACTAGTGATTAAAACTAAGTGTATTTTTTAAATTGTAGTTTTATGTGACCTCTAAATTGCATTGTTCATTGATAAATATTTTATACTGAATTTTTTTTTGCTTTATCAGTGTGGTAGTTTTTTGTTGATACAGAATCCTAGTATTTTGTAGTTAGATGGAAACTTAAAGGTCTGTGTTTGTTTGGAAGATGGAAAAATAGAATTTGGGCAGAGAGACTTTACACAGGGTAGCTTAGTGAGTTTGGGCCACCCAGAACTAACCCCCAGGTCATCCGTTGCCCCATCACCCACAACCTCTAGAGCTGATGCTTTCTTCTGAGCCAGGGAAAAAGATGTAATAGGTAGTCACAAAGCTACTGAGAAGCTGAAGGGTTTCTTAATTAAGGTAGGTCTTCTTGGAAAGTGTAAGACTGAAATCACATCTTTTGTTTAGGATACTTATAAATTGTAACCCAGTTCTTCCCAAATTATACAATATAGTTATAATTTTTATAAAAATACTTATTGTTCATCTTGGAGGTCTAGATTTCTTGACAAATTATACTTAGTAAATTTTTTCCATTGAATGATTAAAAGCATCAAAGGCTATCAGGCACAGGATATTTTTAATTCTGATATAGGAACTTCTTTTCCAAGTAGAGTTACATGAATTTTCTGAGGCCAGTTTTTTTATGATGCCAAAATAATTTTGAAAGCTTATTTCTCTGTTAATGTTTTAGCTCATATACAGAGGCGGAAGACATTGATGACTATTTATAGCATTTGAAATAAATTTGCAGGTACTTCGACCTGGTGTTTTATGGTTTCTAAGGAATTTGAATGATCCAGATTTTAATCCAGTACAAGAAATGATTCACTTGCCTATTTATAGGCATCTTCGAAGATTTATTTTGTCAGTGGTAAGTGTATTTTTTTTAATTGATTTTGAAGTAAAATGGGCTACCCTTGAGTTTTTGTTTTTGTTTTTTGGTCAGAAGGACTGGTAGAGTGGATTGAATAATTTAGGTTTATCTATGCCTGTGGAAGTTGGTTATCAAATAGCTATTTTGTTGGTTACTTTGATAAAATAAAATGTTAGTAAACAAAAATGCCTTCTGGTTCTTTAGAAGTATAATTAATTGCCAAATTATGGGTTTCAGAATTATATTAATTTGCATTTAAGCAATAGAGACTTGTTAATAGCTTGTAAATTAAACTCTTGGGACCTCCCAAGTGGTGCTGTGGCAAAGTATATACCTGCCGATGCAGGAGATGCAAGAGATGTGGGTTCAATCCCTGAGTCAGGAAGATCCTCTGGAGGAGGGCATGACAATTCACTCCAGTATTCTTGACTGGAAAATTCCTTGGACAGAGGAACCTGGCTGGCTGTGCAGTCCATGGGGTTGCAGGGCATTGGACACAGCTAAGTAAGTGAGCACAGCACATTAAACTCTTAACAGTAGCATCTCAAAGTTTCTTCCCTGGTTGGAAAAAGAAATTGCCTAGTTAAATCTTAAGTTTTTCCAAGATAAAATTCTAAAAACAATATTGTGTGCCCTTTGGAAACTTTTGTAGCCATTAATATGGGTTCTCTCTTACTGTCACTGGTGGTTTGTTATGAGGCAGGCAGTTCTGATCCTTCATGGTGAGTTTCTAGCACTCTTTTCATATACCGTGCCGTGGTTATCCTTTGTGGCTCCTGTCTGAGCCCTTGTGTCCTAGAGAGAGAGGAGCAGCTGTCCTAGGAATGCGTCTTCCCACAGAGTGACCCAGGTGTAGTGTGTTGAGTGAGAACACTCATTGCCCTGTGCACACGTCGACCTGGACTGGAGCCTGCCATCTCTCACGGATGGTGACAGGGGTGCTCGGCCTGCCCTCTCTCTTGTTGCAGATTGTCTTCGGCTCCATCGTACTCCTGATGCTGTGGCTGCCTATACGGATAATCAAGAGTCTGCTGCCTCATTTTCTTCCGTACAATGTCATGCTCTATAGGTAAGTTTTTGATATTTGGAAGCTTTACTAATTAAAAGTGTGTTAGGGATTTGATACTCAGAGTACATACATTTAATAAAACATTTCATTTCTCACAGATATTAGCAGTCATCTGATAACTAAATTTTTCCATATGGACATTAGCAGTTATATTTTCCAAAGAAAGACTTGTTTTTCTGCAAATGCAGTGTGCCTTTGTTTAGAAGCAAAATGTTAACATTCCTAATGAGAAATATATAGTAGTGTCATCTTCATATGAAAAGCATTACATCATAAGTAAGGTAACCATAGTTAAAAAAAAGATGAAGATAGGATCTAAAGCTTATAAATGGAAAAATATTCTGATTTAAAGACTAAAGTAACCTGGAAATCTAGTCTCCAGTGTTCCTCCTACATTCCCTTCTTCAGTGATTTGCATCTTCTCTTCAGTCATCTAAATATGCCAGGCAAATTGCATTTCTTCCTCAGATTTACTTGTAATTGTCTTTAAATCTTGTCAGTTCTAATTCTTTATGATCTCTCACATAAATCAACATGATATACCACTTAATATTTTAGGCCTTTTTGTTTTTCTCCATTTATAATCCATCTGTAACAAATCTGCCTCTTCCTCCATAATACACATAGTAATATCTGGGTTATTTAGAATGACATACAAGACTTGGCATAATCTCACACTGCCTTTTGAATCTTGTCCAGCATCGTCTGACTGGAATTCTACTCCCCAGCCCCATGCAGCCTCCATTGAATCTCCCCATGAAGGCCTAGCTGTTCCTGGTTTTTCCCTGTTTGTAGTGACCTTCTGCAAGCTTTTGCTGTCTCTCCTCAGAATCCAAATTGAGGTTTTGTTCTCTTGAGTTGTTTCCTATCTAGAGTAAGTTACCTCCCCGTCCTTATATGTTCCAGTTGTTGTAGTGAGAACCAGGAAGCACAGTTGGTTTTATGTATTGTTGAAATAGTCCCATTTTGGTAGTTGGTTATACCTAGAAGTTTAATGGAGCTATTGTAGCAGTGTTTAGTGCATTCTTCCATTCAGCAAGATTGAAGGCCCATCATATACTAGGTGCTTCTCTGTGTACAAGGGATATAACAGTGAACAAGTCAGAATCAAGAAAAGTTTGTGTCCTTCTGGACTTATCTTTCAGTGAGGAAGACAGCCAATAAAAAATAGGTAAAATATATAATATGCCAGAGAGTCATAAGTGCTGTGGGAAAAAATGAACAAAGAAGTGACTGGTGAGGCCCTGAGGTGACAGTTGAGGAGGCCTTGGGGAGGTGACGGAGTGAGCCACGTGAATCTCTGAAGGCAAAGGGCCCCGTGCAGCCGGGCAGGCACGCGCGGTAGCATTGAGGTTAATGTGAGGAGCAGCCGGAGGCCAGTTTGGCTGTAGTGAAAGGAGAGAAGTAGTTGGCTGTGAGTCGGAGAGGTCATGGGAAGCTGGGTCCTCCAAAGCCTTGTAAGCCATGGTAAGCACTTTGGCTTCGAGTTATTTGAGGGGTGGGGGTTTTGGGGAGGTGGAGCAGAGAGAGAGTGATCTGACGTAGGTTTCTCAGGGATCAGTCCGGGCTACTGTGACTAGAAGAGCTGGGGTTGGGATGGCCAGGGCAGAAACAGGAAGCCAGCCAGGAGGGTAGTGCCACATCCTGGTGAGAGGCGAGGGTGGCTAAGATGGAGGAAGTGGCTGTGGGGTCAGGAGAGGTGGTTCGATTTAGGGTACGATTAGGGTACAGTCAGTAGGATTCTCTTGATGTTTGAATGTAGGGTGAAGAAAGCTAGCAAAGGGTCTCAGTTTCTGTCCTGAGCACCTGAAGGGAGGAGTTGCCGTTTACTAAGATGAGGGAGATGGTGGAGGAGCAGGGTTTAAGGAGGAGTGGGAATTTGATACTGAACATGATCAATTTAAGATGTCTTGGGTTCTGTGAAATGTTGGGTTGGTTCTTTGGATATGTACGTAAGAATTAGGGCAGATATCTGATGGTACATAGAAGTTTACAGAAAGTTGCTGTCGTAAGCCACAGGAGGTTGCTTTCATCCAGACACCACAGGCAGATGAGAATAGAGCAGGGACCTTTCATTGTGTCCGAGTCAGGGAGATGAGGAGGAGCCAGCACGTCTTAGCGAGGTGTCTGTGGAGAAAATGTGCTGAGGGGCGCAGAGTGGCCAGTGGTGTGATAGATACACTGCTAATACAGCAGGTGAGTTGAGGACCAGGACCCGCCCGTCACTCTGGTAACAACACGACGGTCATGGCAGTCCTTATCAGGAACAGTTTTGGTGATGTTTGAGGGAGATGCCTTGTTGTCTTCAACTGAGAGTGGATGTGAGGTGATAAAGGCAGTAAGTTCATGTGACTCTTCAAGGAGTTTTACCATCATTCCATTAAATGTTTAATATCATACAGGCTGGAGGTGATAATGGAAAATTGAATCCACATTGTGAGTTATGGCTTTTTGTAATTATCTTAGTGATGCTCCAGTGAGTGAACTGTCCCTTGAGCTGCTTCTGCTTCAGGTTGTCTTACCAGCGTTACTCGAACAGGGACACACGCGGCAGTGGCTGAAGGGACTGGTGAGAGCCTGGACTGTCACCGCTGGATACTTGCTGTAAGTATGGCAGGTGCCTCGTAGGCATATCATCTGTGATCATTTAATAACTTTTCTGAAAAAGCATGCCCCACTCAGGAAGAGTTAAGTTTTAATAAGAGACATTTTGATGATATCGGCAAGTGTATACAACACTTACTAAAGCTTTTCTAATCATTGCTCTCCTTTTTTTGGAGAATGTATACATGTTTTGGGGGGCTTCCCAGGTCGGTCAGTGTTAAAAATCACCTGCCAGTGCCAGAGACACAGGTTTGATCCCTGGATCAGGAAGATCGTTTGGAGAAGGAGATGGCAACCTACTGCTGTATTCCTGCCTGGAGAATCCCATGGACAGAGGAGCCTGGCGGGCTACAGTCCATGGGGTTACAAAGAATCTGACATTACTTAGTATGCATACATGCATGTTTTTACCCTCCTATAGAGGGGTTGCGGCCCAGGTTCTTTCATTACACTGGGTAGAAGTAAAATGCTTTTTAGTGCATTAAAATCTAACCAAGTTACCCTTTTTTTTTTTAGAAATCCTGACCTGATAAGTTAGGACTGGAAAGGGTCAGTTTTCATTCCAATCCCAAAGAAAGGCAATGCCAAAGAATGTTCAAACTACTGCACAATTGCCCTCGTCTCACACGCTAGCAAAGTAATGCTCAGAATTATCCAAGCGAGTCTCCAATAGTGATGAACCGAGACACCTTAATGTGAAATATGGGCATACTTTGTTTTATTTGCTTCACACTTACAGTTTTTTTTAATAAATTAAAGGTTTGTCAGATGATGGTTAACATTCTTCAGCAATAAAGTATCTTTAAATTAAGGCGGGTACATTGAGTTTTAAGACCGCGCTGTTGCACACTTACCGGAGTATAGCCCAGTGTAAGCGTAAGTTTTATATGCGCTCGGAGACCGCAAGTCTTGACCTCTTTGCTGCGCTGCTGGCTTCGCTGTGGTGTCCCGAGCTACGCCCACGGTACCTCCGGGGGTGCCTGTGTGCGTTGGGCTCAACGTGAACATGTAGCCTTCTCTGAGGCTCAGTGCCCTACCATGCCCCCTTGCTCCCCATCTCATTTGTGCTGTAACTCATTTGTGGCTTGGAGGTTTTAGTTGAACTGTATGTCATAGCAGACACGGTAGTCATCTATAGCGAAAAGAGAAATTGGTACTTTTTTCCCTAAAATCCTTCACATAGAGTATCTTGTATGTTGTACACTTTTTTTGTTCCAGTTACTGATTTTTCTCGGAAGTTGGCTGAAGAAAACATAAAATAGATCAAATTTATGGGGTGTTCTGTATGACTTTACATTTGGAAGGGTTTCATTTAGAGCAGGCAGCAACATTTAGAGCAGATTGAGGTGATGGTAGTGCTCTGCATAGATTCTACTTATACTTTTTCTTCTCTAAGTAATAATTATTAAGGATGAGCACTAATTATAATAATAATAATTGTTATTAAACAAAGACACTGTCATGTCTGCTGTTTTATTCTGAGTGAGAATTTTCACTGATGCAATTTTACACAGGGATCTTCATTCCTACTTGTTGGGAGACCAGGAAGAAAATGAGAACAGTGCAAACCAACAGGTTAACAATAACCAGCATGCTCGAAATAACAACGCTATTCCCGTGGTGGGGGAAGGCCTGCACGCAGCCCACCAAGCCATACTCCAGCAGGGCGGGCCTGTCGGCTTTCAGCCTTACCGCCGGCCTTTAAATTTTCCACTCAGGGTAGGTACTGTACAGACTGGACAGAAGATCTTTCAGATTTCTGTTGAGAGCTTTTGCTGCTGTTATTGGTGGTGTTAGTATAGAGTCCTTGGTGTAAACACATCTTACAGTCTTCTGAGGAGAACCTACGTTTCACTCTTCTCATTCTTTGACACATTCTGTATGTAAATGTCAGGTAAGTTTATCACATTTTCGACATGGGCAATGGAGTTGGGCTTCCATGTGCCATTGGCCCCTGCCATTTGTAAGGAACAGGAAGACCCTAGATCAAATAAGAAACGAACATTCTTGACTCATTTCCTGTGTCAGGAACTGGAATCAGCATTTTAGAGTCTTTCTCTCTTTAATCTTTGCAGTATTAATCCCAGTGCTCCAAGGAATGAGTCGTAATCTTTTGTTTATATCTGATAAAACTGAAGAGTTTTATTAATGAGTTTATTAATGAGTTTTTTAATTTATGACTTTGGTTAAGGAAGTGCCTGCCTCACCGAGACCTTCCTCCAGATGCTACCAAACTGTTCCTTCAGGGGTCTCCAGGGACCTTCATGGTGTTAAATTCGATGGTCAGGTCTTAGTCCTCACCTCACGTGCTATATGATTGCCCACTTCTTGTTCCACAAAACACTTTTTTGGAAGTTGTTCAGGAAACTTCATGGAGGAGTTGATACTTTTAAGTCTTTAAAGTTAGGAGATCAAGCAGATTTAAAAAAGCACGTGGGAAAAGGCGTTCCAGGCCTGTTGTCAGGACAAGAAGCACGTTAAGACGTGGTCAGTATGGACCTGCAGGGAAGTGAGTGGATGGAGTTGAGGCAGGAGGTGTAGGCGAGCTGTCAGAGATGGAGGAGCTATGAGAGACAAGGCTCTTCAGTTGACAAAAGATCCTTTCTTAACCAGAAGGTATTTTGTGGTCCAGATTAGAGAGAGGACCACCACGGGGTCTGTCAGGCAGTGGAAGCCGACGAGTCTCCATGCTCTGTTGCCCAGTGTTATTGCTGGTGCTTGCCGTCTCCCTGCCGGAGCCCTGCCCTTGGGGCCTGGTTGGGTCCAGGCAGGCGGCACTCTTTTTATCTCTCTGTCCAGGATGGCTGCTTCCTTCTTGTCTCAGGGTGTTTCCTTTTTATCTACACTTTTCCATATAGGAGCCACCAGCTATAGCTACGATGATTGTTTACTTTTAAACTTAATTAAAAATAAATACCACTTGTAGACATGTGGTAAATAACCTTGATGGTGGATATTCCTTCACAGCGTATATCAGATCACGTATGTATATATGTGATCGTATACGTTTATCAGTTCACATTGAACACTTTAAATATATTATTAATATAGTTTAATTTGTCTTTTATGTCAATTAAACTGAAAAAATAAAAAATACATTTCTTGTAGACAACATTCATACTCAGAGTACCTAGAATCTTAAATTCCGGCACTCATCCCATGTGAAGTGCTTGGTGGCCTCATGTACCCATAGCTCCTGTGTCCAGCAGTGCAGGTGTAGACATCTCCATCATCAGAGTGTTTTGATTGGATGGCACTGTTAGAGAGTGAGCTTTCCTTTCATGAAAAGTTGTTTCTGAGAATTTGATAAAAATAAGTGACCATTTTTAGTTTTAATTAATAGTGAGGGAAAATGTAAGTTGATCATGTTTTATGTTTGTGCTCTCTGATTTAAAGTATATTTGCTTGTTATTTGCTGATGTATCTGATTATATGAAAGTGGAAGCAATTTACTTTTAGCCAGAGTTATAGTTAATATTATCTAAAATGAAAATTTCCTTTTTATGTAAAATGGAAGGAGCCCTGGAAATACCAGTATAGACTGTTTGTTTTTACTGAGAGAATTGTGTTGATTCTTTGAGTGGTGTCCTAAAATACATTGAGCACATGTGACTACTGTTTATGCACTGCTGTGTTTTGCCTTGCAGATATTTTTGTTGATTGTCTTCATGTGTATAACCTTACTGATTGCCAGCCTCATCTGCCTTACTCTACCAGGTATGAGCTTATCCTAGCTCTCCGCTAATGACATCATGAAAAGATGCTTTGTTTTAACAGGGTGTATTTTGCTGAGATGTGATCTTTTCATCAAATATAAAATGAAGTGGTTTTCTCTTCATTTTTATTGAATGTGGGGTACATGGGGACAAAGTTCAAAGTCAGTCACAAAGTATCAGAAGCAGCTCACTGCCCCCCAGCCTCCTTGTTAGTGCTTCATAGCAGCCAGAAAATCCTAAATCATAGTGATGTGTTAGCCACTTAAATCATCACTAAGTAGAAGATACTTTTCAGGTCTTATCAAGTATGCAAATATATATTGAGTTAGTGTCTTGATTATAACACTCAGTATAACTTTATAAATCAGATTTACCTTAAACACTTGATTTTTTTCCCATGTGGGCTAAGGCTGAGGAGGAGCAACTAGTTAATTTCAAGTGAGGTTTCTTTAATTATTTTCTGATTTGTCTAAGAGTTGTGATTTACCTTAAACTGGTAAAAATAAAGTTTATCTTAAAATGTTTTATTTTTAACTTTCTTCACAGTGATTTTTTACTGCTAAAACTTTACTCCTGGGTTCACTGCTCAGATCTCAGCTGTTAAAATGACAAAGTCTAGTTAACCATTGCTAAGTCACTTGAGTTGTATCCGACTCTTTGCAACCCTATGAACCATAGCCTGCCAGGCTTCTCTGTCCATGGGATTTTTTTCAGGCAAGAATACTGGAGTTGGTTCCCATGCCCTCCTCCAGGGGATCTTCCTGACCCAGGGATCAAACCCACGTTTCTTATGTCCCCTACATTGGCAGGTGGGTTCTTTACCACTCGCGCCACCTGGGAAGGTGCAGCAAAATAAACATATTTTTGAGAAAACTTAAGTTTTTGAATTTTGGACAGTTTTGTGGTTTATATGTTCCATTTTCATTTTTATCAGAAATATTAAAAAGTTAACGAAGGAAAGAAACCCAGTTTTGTTACTTGAATTTGGCAATGCAAGTACTTTAATCTCATTATAAAGATTGTTAAGGAAATACTTCCCTGTTAATCCAGTCCCAGCATCTAGTGGAAGGAATGCAGCTATGTTTAATCATATAAATACTTGTCATAGTACACATTTAAGGTGGTGAGGATGCTGTTTCCCCATAGGTTACTTTCCTATAGCTACATTTTAACTAACGTTGAGTTACTACAAACTAGAAACTAACTTGACCTCTCAAAAACACTTTAGAAGTATGTGAAGTATAGAATTAGAGGAGGCCTTTAAATTTTTTAAAACCAGCCAACCAAAAAAGAACAAAAACTTTGGAGTAAAAATCAGTTCAGTTCAGTCACTCAGTTGTGTCCGACTCTGCGACCCCATGAACTGCAGCACCGCCAGGCTTCCCTGTCCATCACCAGCTCCCAGAGCTTGCTCAAACTCATGTCCACTGAGTCGGTGATGCCATCTAACCATCTCATCCTCTGTCGTCACCTGCTCCTGCCTTCAGTCTTTCCCAGCATCAGTGTCTTTTCCAGTGAGTCAGTTTTTCACATCAGGTGGCCAAAGTATTGGAGCTTCAGCTTCAGCATCAGTCCTTTCAATGAATATTCAGGACTGATTTTCTCTAGGATTGACTGGTTTAATCTCCCTTGCTGGAGTAGAAATACATATACATATAGAATGCTTGACATTTTTACAGAATTATCAGTGATACTTTTAAATATTTAACAAGCATATGTGTTTATTTCATGTGACATTTGCATGTGTTTGTCTTTAAAAATTACTTATCTTCATACCCAAGCTATTTTGTGATATCGCAAAGAAGTCTGTAATGTTATTAGCATTATGGCCTATAAACTTGACTGTTGAGGTAGTTTGATTGGGATTGGAGACAATGTGGGTCAGTGATCAAGAGCATGATCTTGGTCATGTAAACGTGAGTTGACCTTCAGCCACCACCCTTGTATGCCCTTGGTTGGGGGCTAGGTTTCTCAGTCTTCAAAATGGAGGGTCGTTACTGCTTGCAGGGTTGTTGGCAAGATGAATGTGAAAATGTATGGAAAATGTTCAGCTCAGCCACTTGCTCCTTTTAGACATTCAAAAATAACAGATAAGTTTTAAAAAAATGAAACAGATTATTACTTTGTCAAGGAGAAAGAGACACTGGAGATGGGGTCCTGGTCTTCTCTCCAGCCTTATTAAGGAGTAACCATGTGAAGAAATTATATAAATGATGTTGCCTGATAGATTTTTGTGGGTACATTTGTAATAACTCTTTGTTTGAGGCCATCCCTTAGACAACTTTCACTTATTTCACATATTTTATTTTTTCCTGAGAAAATTAGTGTGAGATTCTTTTTTATTGTGCCCACTTCTTATTAGAATAAGCTTAGTTTTCTATCTTAATGAATGAGCTAAATGGAAGAAAGTTACTCTAAATTCTTTGTAATGTTACTAAATATTAAAAATATTGACAACACAAATAATAGAAAGTATATTCTCCATTTGTGTCCTGTTGCACTCTGCACACTCTTTTCATTTGATGATCCAGACAGCAAAAATACCCTGCTCCTCAAGTCATTTCGGTCCCCAGAGAGTAAGCAGTTGGCCTCGCAGGTCACCATGCAGGTCACAGGCAAGCTTGTACCCAGTGACTTGCTGTGGTTTGGTTGTATCTTAAGTTATGACATTCTTTAGAGTTTGGTGGATTTTGATTTTATTTTGTTTGCTCTTAATGAAGATACTGATACATCAAAATGTGTTGTCTTTTTAATATCACTTAAAATGATTGAAGATACTGGTAGTACAACATTGACATTAAGATTAGAGTTGTTTTTGCACGATTGCATGTCTCATTTATCAGCCTTTGTATTTTCAGTATTTGCTGGCCGTTGGTTAATGTCATTTTGGACCGGGACTGCCAAAATCCACGAGCTCTACACAGCTGCCTGTGGTCTCTATGTTTGCTGGCTCACCATCCGGGCGGTGACGGTACTGGTGGCATGGATGCCACAGGGACGCAGAGTGATCTTCCAGAAGGTCAAGGAGTGGTCCCTCATGGTAAGCCTTTCTAGTCAAGACTGGTCCTGTCTGACAGCAGTGGTGAATGTTTTTCCAGTGGTTTCTTTAAATCTTTTCACTTTGTTTCTTCACTATGTTGATTGTGTCAAGAGAGTTGATTTTTTGAATTAAAAGGAGTAGTCCTTTAAGGCAGTAGTTTTCTGGTTTTACTCTGAGAAATACAGTCCAGATATATCTGAGGGTTAGAAGAAAGTCATGCTATTAAATGATCCAGTAATGCCCTTGAGACATAAGACAGTCTGTAGAATTTAAAATCAATTTATTTAAGTAGAAATTTCCTTTAAGTTATTTTTTCTAAAATTTGATTAAATTCTTTTAATATATAAAAGCTTGACTTCAGGATTCAGTGTTTTCTATATAAATGAAATTCTTTTAATTATAGTCTGTTGTTATTCAAGAATGTCCTGGCTAGTGTGAAAGGATAGTAGTTATTGGGAATTATTACTCTCAATAAAGAACTTAATTGTCACAAGAATGAGGGAAAATGTCACTGTAAGATGATTGTCTAAGGGTGGCAACTTATTGATTGATCATAATGTTGATTATGACTAATAAATATGTTTAGGTCACTGCTTTATGCCTTTTCATTTGTATAATCAAGTCTAGTTTTGTATCTGAATTTTTATTTTGATTTTACTAGAAGTTTAACAGCTATTTAATATTCATGTTTAAAGAAAACCACAAGAGATTCATTGTATATTAAGAATGGAGGGATTTGATTACTATGCAATCTGTAGATATGAGACCCTTAACTATATTTAAATAGAGAAACTAGCCAGTACCAGTTTTCATTTGATATTCTTCCACATCATATGGCTATGTAAAGAAATAATTACTGTGTCTTATTGCACACCATTTTAGTCTCTTGCTGTTGAAACAGCTTTACTCACTGAGGCTCCCTTAACAAAAAGGGACATCAAGGCCACTGTAAAGCTGATTTCTTTGTCAGGATTTCATAATGGCTCTCACATGTTATTTCTTCCTTCTTTTTTGTGCCAATTTTCATTTTGCCACTTTGTCCAAATTCTGTAGCTGTGCTAATAGAGTAGCCATGTGACTAATGGCTACCATCTTGTACAACACAGATGTAGGTCATTTCTGTCATCTCAGTAAGTTCTGTGGGACCGTACTGTTCTCAGGGGAGCTAATTTGGTTAGCTTGGTTAATTACCTTAACTGGGGTTATGCAGAATGCTTCAACTATGTCAGTCTATCTCAGAGGTCACAGGTCAGCCTATGGGTGGGCCACCGTTGGCTCAGGGGTGTGGGGCACCCAGGGAGATGACAAGCACTGGCAGTAACACTCCAGGACGGGGCATGGAGACTTGGTCAGCTTCTTAGACAAACAGAAGCCTAGTCCTGAGACTTAGATTGAGAAAAGTAGCAAAGCCACTTGGTTAATATACATATTAAAATAATTTTATAGCAACATAGTAATATGTTTAGTAGTCATTTCATGCTTTTGTTAAGTAGCTTGAGTTTTTGTAATTATACATTCAAATTTCATTCAAACATGTAACATAAAAGGTGAGTTGTTTAAGGTATGTATTTGTTCTGTTAGGCATCAGATCAAAGAAGAATAAACTTCACATGAGATAAAGGGTTTGGCCAGAAGTCAGGGAGACTCTCTTAACTCAGTGGCCTTTCATCTCCCACTAGATAATGAAGACTGTGATCGTGGCAGTGCTGCTGGCTGGGGTGGTCCCGCTTCTTCTGGGGCTTCTGTTTGAGCTGGTTATTGTTGCTCCCCTGAGGGTTCCTTTGGATCAGACTCCTCTTTTTTACCCGTGGCAGGTAAGTGCATGTCTTTTGCTCATGATACTTCCTTTTGTATTTAGCATCAGAAAAATTCTCAGTTGTTTAAAATGATTTTAAGCAGCTTGTTTAGAGAGACTTCTTAATTTTTTCTATTGTAGGAGCTCTTGTAAAATTGATCAGATAATGCATTTTAACTTTTGAAATATGCAGGCCATCTAAAGTAAATACCAAAATGTCACTACAGGCTTCACTAATATTTAAAAATGCAAACTAATGTGTTGGTCTTTTCACTTTTAGTTAGGTTGATACCTTGCTCCTTTTAGCGTTGAGCCTTGAAGTGATAACCTACATTTTTGAATAATTACATTTTCCCCCACAAGAGTCATATAGGCTTATTAAAAAGAACATTCTGAGGGAAACTATGCAGGTCATAGCAAAGGCCTTAAAATACACATGGAAAAAGAGATTTAACTTTTCTGTCGCACTTAGAGTCTGAAGTTAACATCATAGACCTCAGATTTTTAAGAGAGATTAGGGAAAGAGTGGATATTGACTTCAGTCATTCAAAGCCTTTTCAGCTTTGTTTTAAAAATAAACTTTCCAGAGATGAAAATTTTGTCTACTTTCCTGATGAACAACCTCTGTAAACTTCATTTAGCAGCACATACTTACTTGAGTGCTTTAATGTATGCCCAAGCCCTATGTGGTGTAGGGAGTGAGGCTAAATGCAAGGACTTCTGGGGACCTTGCAGGCTGGTGGGAAAGATAGGTAGAGGGTGCTGTGGTGGGGCACACATGAGGAGCACAGCATTAGGGGGCGAGGTACTCACCCAGCTGGGGGGGTTTTCACATATGGTTTTCTGTAGAGACAGTGTCCAGGACAACATGGTAGAGTGCAGAGGAATGGGTGAGAAAAGAAGTGTATTCCAGGAAGGAACGAATGGGCAGGCCTTGAAGTGAGACAGCACACAGACATAGGGGATACTCTCATGGGGTGTGCTTGTAGGTTAGAACTAGAGTGAAAGTGAGCAATAAAGGGGGATTGTTACGTGTATGTTACATGTATGTGATGCCTTCCTGTAGGAGTTGAATTGCAGTATAGTGTAATAGCATCAGGGATTGAAGGAAAGCTGTTTTTCACAGAATAATAGCAGCTATGAAAGGTAGAGGACTTAAGAGAATTAATTAGGAAAATCATTATTTTGCAATAACTAATTGATTCCTGGGATTGTCAGTGGATACTGAACCCATTAGGTGAAAGTTGATGCGTTGGTCTTTGGTTACTGTGCTGCAATAACAAGTTACCTGACAGTCCCGGCTTACTGGCTTAAAACAATCATTTATTTTGTCCACAGAATCTGTGGGTCAGAAATTAAGCCAGGGCGTAATCTGCTTGTATCTGATTCACGTTCTCTGGGGTCTCATGTAGGAGACTCAGTGGCTGAGTGTGATTTGACAGCTTTAGCTGACATCATTTGGAGATGTCATCATTCAGTGTGTGAGGACTGGCACTGGCCGTTGCCCCTCGTTTGGGCCCTTGGTTGGAGCCCCTGGATGTATTTGAGCTTTTTTATAGCTTGGTAGCTCAAGGTACTTGGGCTTCTTCCATTGTATTTCAGGGAAATGAGTGTCCCAACCAACAAGGCAGAAGCTACATCAGCTTTCATGGCCTCCTCTCACAAGTCCTGCACATCGCTTTTCACTGCCTCCTAACTGGGTATGAGCAAGTCACAGGTTGGCTCAATTCTATGGGAAGGGGACATAGACCCCAACCACTCCATGGGAGAAGAATTTGCGGTCATGTTTAAAGGCCACTACAATGCAGAAGTGGTCGTTTGCATGGTGACAGAGTGTCACTTTTCAGATTACTTGATACCTGAAAGGGCAACACAGCTTTGTAGAGGAGGGGTCAGCAGACACTGCCTTGACCCACGTGATCACTGCAGATGTGGCCAACAGATGCCCTGTGCCTCCTGAGGTTGTGTGGTATGCTGCACCAAAAACATCAGAACAGCCCGAGTGCAGGAGCTGTGCCTCCTGTTGGATGTGAACAGTTGACGGAACATCAGCGTCATACTGCCACTCTGTGATCGTGATGGATCACAGCAAAATGAGGGCCCCTCCGTAATTATGTCTGAATGCAGGCAAAGCGTGAGCATTATCCAAACCACGCAAATGACCAAACATGCCCACGCCTGGCTGCCCCTTCGTTTCCAGCTGCAGTTTTATTAGCCTCAGTTTGTCCTGTCTTCTGGAGAGATTTATTAAAATATGCAATTATAGATTACCAGGACTTTTCTAATGGGCTTCCCTGGTGACTCAGGCAGTAAATCATTTGCCTGCAATGCAAGAGATCTGGGTTTGGTCCCTGGGTTGGGAAGATCCCCTGGAAGAGGGCATAGCAACCCACTCCAGTATTCTTGCTTGAAGAACCCCATGGATAGAGGAGCCTGGTGGGCTTCTTTTCTAAATAGCATCTGGAATAGAGCAAAGCCCTGCTTCCTTAAATTCTCCTCAAATCACTTCACAGAAGCCAGAGAACATATTTTCTCACATCTTACTCAGGGCTCCGAGGCCTCCACACTTGTCTGTTCTCCCTCACCACACTGAGCAGTGATGCAGCTTGTTCGCCTGTACATGTGTTCTTGGTGGTCTTAATGGTGTCTGAGTTCTCGACCTTGGCGGGGTAGTTGAAATTACTCAGTTTCAAGAACGCTTGTATGTTGTGACCCATCTGTTTCACTTTTCAGAAATCTTGCAAAGAAATATTTACACGTGTGCAGGAGACATGAGCAGGGTTGTTCTGCTATCATGTGGTTTTTGTGATGTCAGGAAACTTAGAAGCAAGCCAGATGTCCATCAGTAGAAAAGGACTAAATAAAATCTGATATATCTTTCCTTTTGAATTCAGTGCAGCAGTTAAAAGAAGTCAAGCTGTGTGTTTCATTTTTTGCTTTTGTTTTGGTGAATGTTATAAATAGTTAGCTCTCAGATACATTTTTGAGTACAGGATAGATTCAAATTGCCAACAGCATGATATCCTTAATATTCTGGATAAAACCCAAAGTTTGAAGCAGCAACTTGGTTTTATTCATCCCTGACTCTAAGCATTTCTGTGGGAGGCTGGGCTCTTCTGGAATTCTAGCAGAGGAGCTAGTGTGGTGTGTTTTGTTTTGTGGGGAAGAACTGCAAAGCAGAGGATTTGAGAGAGCTGGAACCGCAGTGGCCTGTGCCCCTCCCCAGGGGAGCGTTAACCTCACTTGGGCGCCTTCTGGACTCCCACAGGCCACAAGAGAGCCGAGCTGGTGGGCCGAAGCTTCTCTGCCTGGAGCCTGGAAGGACAGGGAAAAGCAGAGAGGCCTTCTCCCTGTTCTCATTGGCAAGCATTGGCTTGCTACCCCAGAGGTCTCATGAGCTAAAAGATCCTCGTGCAGCCCTGTAGGATATTCTCAGTCTGAGCCACGTTGAGCCTACAGAGAAAAGTAACAACCGTTGTGTGTAAGGAGGGGTCCCGCAGCCACAGAAAGAAAAGGCCCAGTGACGGGGAACTGCTTGCAGAGCGCGAGCATCCAAGCAGAAGATAAAAACACAGGTGGTTAGGATATGTGTGGACGCACACACAGCAGCATCCGTAAAACAGTGAAATTGTCATGGTGTTTTATAGCATGGATTTCAAACAAATTCAGTAAATGAATTAAAAATGTGACCAGACACCATTGAGGCTCAGCCTGGAGGTCTTGGAAGACAGTGCACGGCGCACAGCTGAAGAGCAGGCAGTTGCGGGGAGAAGCGGTGGAGGATACAGCCAGGAGGCTCAGTGCACTCATAAAAGGCTCTACAGTGCGGAGATGCGGGGCCACGTGGAACAGAATAGACATTCTTAAGTGAAGAAGAGAACTAGTCTGTAGGTTGAAGGAGCTTATCAGGTTTGGTGAAATGGAAATTGATGAGGAAAACACATATTTGGGTACATCTTGGTAAAGTTTTTGAAATCACAAGCTCCAAAAAGAACCATACTGGCAATGGACTTTGTAGCACTGAAACTGTAGAAGGTAGAAAGGTGTTTAGAGACCACTAAGATAAAAGGGACAAAAACCATGCTTCCTGTACCCAACCAAAATGTCATTCAGTCATTCATCTGTCAGGATAGAGTGGTGTTTGAGGAGCAAGCAAGAATTCAGTGCATGCCTCAGCCTCCCACCCCATTTTGAAGATGTTTTGGGAAACCAGCCAACCAAACTAGAAAATCAGAACAGAACAGTATGAGCAAAATCCATGTAAAATAGGTACTATGTATTTCCTGTGGAACATAACATGTATAGACATTGGTTGGTGCCTAGGGAAACCAATGTAGAAGATGCTTACCAGATGTTAGCTGTGGTTACCGCTGGTATTGGGGCGGGGGTCAGGATTTGGGCTGGACTCCAGCCGTCCCGTAAAGGTTTTCAGTTTTATGTAAGAATAGATTTAAATGTTACATGATACTTTGAAAAAATACACATATTTTAAGATAAACAGAGAACAGATTATGAAAGACGTTGTGTGCCATATTTAGGGTTGTAAGCAGGGAAGGCTCTTTAAATGATCTGACTTGCACTTTTAAGAGATCCCTAGGGTGGTGGGAGTGGCAGTCACTTTGGCTGCCTGGTGGAGAGTGGGGGTGGGCAGGAGCCTCCATGTGGCAGACAGTTCAGCAGAAGTGCCAGTGCACCAACTCACAAAGTGCTCTGAGCCTTCGGGATGGCTTCTTTAGGTCAGACAGGGCTTCCCTGTCCAGACCAATAGAACAGCCTAAGAATGGTGTGATGAAATAAAAGCAGGGAACTGTTTTATTTATTTGCTTTTGACATCTCCACTAAAGTAAACACTTTTCTTAGTTCTCTTGGGAAGATAATGTAGATTTTTTTGGTGGCTGGGGAAGATAATGAGTTTTGGTAGAAGCATTGAACTTTCCTGAATTTTTTTCCAGTGTGTTTATTACTCTTCCATAAAATTGTTACTGATCCAACAGAACTTGTGTTTTGAAGTAAATAATGCAAAAAAATTGTATAGCCTCTGTGTTGGGTTTATTGCTAAAAGCAAAACCTGTTAAATGATTTTTATTCCCTAGGACTGGGCACTTGGAGTCCTGCATGCCAAAATCATTGCAGCTATAACATTGATGGGTCCTCAGTGGTGGCTGAAAACTGTAATTGAGCAGGTAAGCAAGTTTGACTCATGGGGCCTTTATTTCCCACGTTCCCACTTCTCTTTTAAGTTTTCTACATTTTCTTTAATGAGGATATAAAATTTTTTCTTTTTTTTTAAGGAGAAAAGGCACTTTTTACTGTTATCATCAACTACTCTTAAAACTTCCCTTACCTAAGTTAACTGGTAGCTTAAAGTACCTAGAAGCCTGAGCGAAAGTAAAGGCAGAATTTAGCAAGTGTGCTTTTCTTTTTTTAAGAGCAGGGATTCAGGTTTTAAACCTGCAGTAGAGAAAAGAGGTCATTGTGCCAGGCAATAAAGAAAAAGGCAAGAAAAGAATAGATTTAAAAATAGTTATTCTAGCTATGTAGCACCTAAGACAGTTTTGTATTATGGAACTATCAGATAATTTGGTCATTGTGGTGATAACCTTGAAAGAGATAGATTATGCTTCCGTACTTTGATAATAAGGCTAGGAAGTAGGAGAATTCATTGTAGGAACACTTCTTCCAAAATAATCAATGTAGTAAATTTTGTTACTTCTTTTAAGTTTAGTTTCCTAGACATGTACTTACAAACAACCTACTTGTCCTTAAGGCAGCATCAAATAAATAAAATGTTACAGTTTTGTAGCACTAAAGGTACACCTCCTTTTGATGTATAGGAAATAGTTCTCAGTTTAGTATGCATAAAAAATAGTCCAAAAATTCCTGTACCTGGAAATTTGTGGGGCCGGGAAGAGCCATTGTATGCGTTTGCATGTGTTTCTCAAGAGAGGGCTGATTCTGAAGTGAAAGGGATTGTGGGGTGCCTGGCAGCACATCCATTCACTGTAGAAGTACAGACCAGTCCAATTCAGAGGTTCTAGGTGAGACCTTGATAAGCACTAGTTACAACTGGAGGCTGTGAAACATTGTTGATCTTTATGACATTTTCTCTCTGATGCATTCTTTCTCATCCATGTGTCTAAGTCTTTAAAATGATTAAGAAGCAATGAAATGCCTTGCTGCATTAATTTAAATGCATTTGGGTTAAAAGTACTTTGAGGGGGTCAGAGGAGCCTGTTTGTCATTCACATTCTAATGCTCTAGCCCATGTCTGAGGGATCCAGAGCCTGGAGTGAGTTGCACCGCACTGTAGACCATGGGCCAGGAGAGGCTGAAGCGTTGGGGAAACACAGCACTCTTCAGTTTTGTCCCCTTCTGCACACCATGTTTATTTCCCATTATTCCCAGGATCTCCCCACTGCCATACATTCTTTCCTGTGCAGTACTACTTTGTAGAACTTTCTGGATAAAATGATGGAAATATTTTAGAAATTCTTGAATTAAAAAAAAAATTCCCTGTAGCATTCTTTCATACTGAATTGTTACATAAAATACGTTTTGATTTGTTCAAATTTTATTTATAACTAGCTTTTTAGAAACATGCTTCCTATTTGTAATGTTTTCTTATATTCAGATAAAATGAATGTAATATTGAGTAATAACACAGCTTACTCTTACACAATTTATATATAAAGTTACTTCCAGTTATGTGCTCTTCAACTAATGTTATGGATGCCACCTGGTGTTGTATAGCACAAAGCTAGTATAACTGTTATTCTTGATTAGATCCTACTATTTCATCTCTTAGCAGAGTTAACTACAAAGTGTTGGGAAGTAAATGCGTTTCTTTTAAAAATTGTGGACACCACACCTATGTTCCAGAACTTGCCTTGACTTCTGAAAAAAAGGGCCACCTTGAATCCATTTGGGCTGGTAGATCCAGCTCCCCGTGGCTTGACTGCAGTAGAGTTTGCCCTGTTAGCCTGGAGGAATTTGTCTTGTATCTTGGCTCTCCCCCTCCCGCTGTGTTTCAGGTTTACGCAAATGGCATCCGGAACATTGACCTTCAGTACATCGTTCGGAAACTGGCAGCGCCAGTTATCTCTGTGCTCTTGCTTTCCCTGTGTGTACCTTACGTCATCGCGTCTGGCATCGTTCCTTTACTCGGTGGGTTTTATCCACATCAGTACCTTCTTCTCCCTTCCAAGATGAGGTTACCTGGCTCCAAATGCTTTATTGTAAATATAAATCCAGCTAAAACAGTGATTTTCAAAGACTGTTTTTTTTAGATTTTATTAGTCAGGGCAAGATAAGGATAATAAAACTCTGTCACAGTTTTTCCTCTAGGCAGGTAAGAAAGTATTGACACGTAAAAAATCTTCTTTAGCATAAAAGAAAAACCAAGAGGAAATACTCATTTGTGATACTTTAACATGTAGACAGCATCTTAGTAGTTACATGCTGAACAATCCTCACACGACCTTAAAGCCAGCACATGTTCAATAATATAGACAGTTTTCCCCTCCAGGTCTTTTTCTTCTACTGAGCTCCCGCTCACAGTTACCCCCATTATCATCCAACAGGTTGCATAAATCAGAGACCTTGAAGGTCTTACATGTCACCTGAGGCTCTTTGCTCTTCAGACTCAGCTGGCCTCTGGGTCCTGCTGATCTGGGTTCTTTCATCTCTGAGCCCTTGCCTGCCCCCTGTTGAGACAGAGAGAGGCTGTCACCGCAACCTCAGCTGTCTCCTCTCTGGGTTTCCCTGCTCAGAACCCTCTCCCACTAACTCATTCTCCACACTGCAGCCACGATGACCTTTCAGAAGAACAAGTCTTATGGTTCATGACCTTTTGGTGAACATGCTTTCTTTGGTTGCTCTGTGGCCTTCAGAGCACAGTCTAGCTCCTGGGGTAGTTCACGAGGTTCCTCCTCTGGGTAGGGCTGGCCCCAGGCACTCCTCGCCTCACTCTAGGTCCTACAGATGAGTTTCCATTAAGCTCCCCTTCCGAAAGGATGTATTTTCATTTCACTGTCTTTCTGCATACACTATATATATACTTGAGTTCTTTTTTTGTTGTTTTACAGGTGTTACTGCAGAAATGCAAAATTTGGTCCATCGGCGCATTTATCCATTTTTGCTGATGGTTGTGGTGTTGATGGGAATCTTGTCCTTCCAGGTCCGCCAGTTTAAGCGCCTTTATGAACATATTAAAAATGACAAGTAAGTCCAGACTTTATTGGTCTATCTGCCCTTGTTAAAATGTCGCATATCTTAACTGTTGTGTCTGATGTGATAAATCACAGGAGGGAAAAGTGCTCCGATTCTGGATGTATTTTGAGGTAGAATGAACAGGATTTGCTAACAGGTTGGGTATAGAAAGTAAAAAAGAGAGTTATTAAGGACTTGGCTTGGGTCAAGCAATTAAAAATACGGAATTATCATTGACAGATCAAAAAGACTGAAACTCGTTTGGGGAGGTAGATTTTTTTAATGTCCATTTGAAATACTTTTCAGTCTGTTTTCAAATGTCTTGGTCTGGCAATGTATTAAGTAGTTTAAGATAAAAAAATAAGAAACCTAAAGAGAAAAAAACAGAAGCCTACACTAGGAGCTAGCAGTGCTGCCTAAGCCCTTCCTGTAGCCACAGGCCAGTGGGTTACTCTGCCTGTTGCTGAGAGGAGAGGTGAAGGTTACTTTAAAGTGTTGTGCCACCCTCTGTTTTGAGGAAATGATGCTACCTGCCCTCTGAGAAACTGAGGACAGTCGACAAAAACACCTTCTGGGGTAACAGCCCTTTGACCCTCTGTGTCCTCCTGGAAGGCGGAATCCTCTTCTGCTTTAACGGTGTCTCACAGAAGAAGAGTGTCTGTCATTCTCCGTCCTCATCTGCCCAGGAGAGTCCCAGTTTACACGTGCCGCCTTTGTGTCTTCGTTAGCAGCCGCCCCCGTTTAGTTGTGAGAGCCAGCTTTGGACAACAGATTATTCAGTCACCTTGTTACTCTGAGGACTCTTACTGAAGAGTAACTTTTTAAAGAGTGAAACCTAGAGTGTTGAGGGCTTCTCCAAATCATGTACTGATGCTGATAAACACTAGACCTTTTAGGGAGTCAGAGTGTAAGTTCTGTCAACCATGAAAGGGGGAGGGCGATTTCAGTGCTGAAAATCAGTTTTTCTCATCTCCCCTGTCTTGGCAGCGCAGTAACACACAGGAGACATAGCCTCGGGAGCTGCCCGCGGCCCAGCTCACTCTGTTGTCTTTCCCCTCTGTTTCTCCGTGCAGGAAGCCATTGAACTGCAGGCTTCATGTAGGCCACATCCTGTTTGCCAGTGTATATCCACAGAGCGTCTCTCAGGGCGTGATCCCTGGGAGGCGCCGAGTGTGCCTGTGTGCGTGGGGGGTGAGGGTACCAGGACTGCCTGCAGGCTCAGAGTCTCCTTTTTCTGCCCCTACTTTTTGGGTCCTGGGCAAGTTCACTTTGCTTTTCTGTGCTTGAAATCTTGATATGGTTTGAACTTCAGGTATGTGTCAGGAAGTGCCCTGTGTATCATGTCAGATATTACTAGGTTGCCATTGTCTGACATATTTAGAAAAATCCTCACGGTTTTAAAAAACGCTGTTTGGTTGGGAAATAGTGGGATAAGGAATGGTTATCTTCAGAAAGAATATCAGGAGGACAAAAAGAAAAGGGATTAAACAGTGAGCTTGTGACAAAGAAGCCATAGGATTAGTGGAATGTTTTTAAGCTCCTTGGCATAAACTTCCAGAGTATCTCGTGCAGCATATTGGCAGAAGAGTGATAAATGAAAGTCAGGGTGGAGAAAGTCATGGTGGAAAAGAAAAGCTGCTGGGTCCTGAGTCCTCAGCACGTGCCAGGCCTCCATTCCCCAGGCTTTTGCTTGCTTGCTGTTGGCTGCAGCAGTGCCCAGAGCCCTGTCACGGGCTGGCTTCCCTCTCCACTCTCACACAGTCATGTCAAGTCCTGCTGGGCACTTCGCGATCTGTGTTGCTGACTCCAAGTGGGCGCACTTGTTCCCGACCCCTGCCCCAGCTTGTTGTCATCAGCTTTGCACCCACTCTTCTCCTGGGGTCAGCCTCCAAGAGAGGCACGTTCCTGCTCCTCCTCCCCAGCCCCTGTGGTTGTTACAGGGACACTGTCCCTGGTAGGGGACCCCGCCTCGTCACTCCAACCGCAGGAACTTCATCTCCGTCTCTGCAGCCCTGCTTCATCTGTTGTCACCTCCCTGCCACCACATGGCACAGGTTATGGACAGTTAGCCTTCCTTCTTGGACCATAAGCTCCTACCTTCTGTCAGTCCCTTGCACACACTCACGTCTCTGTTTGACCTCCCTTAAAACTTTGTCCTTTGATTTCTCCTTTTCTTTAGAGCTAGAGCTTTTCAGAGTTTGACTCTCCTTCCTACCCAGCTTTCTGGTGATATTTCCAGTCCATTTCTTAAGATCTGTCCACTTACCTGTTTTGTAAAATATGATCTGTAAGGTAAGACATAATATTCCTAGTTTACTTGACCTTACCTACCTCTGGCCTCCAGGGTTCAGTTTCTGAGGGCCCCTGGCCTGTGGACCAGAGTGTATTCTCCACTGCACAGCATCTGAGGCCACTGACGTGTGCGTCTCTGTCTCCCATAAGCCCCATAGCTTGCTATGAAATGCCTGCTTTTGTGCTGGTGGTCATTCTAGTCCCCCCCCCCCCCCCCGGCCCATTCTACCTCCCTAAGTATTGAAGGGTTCTAAGAGGGAGTGAAGTGATCTGATTTACATTTTAAAAAATGTATCAACTGGCTAACCCAAGGAAGGATGTTTTAGTAAGGAAGATGACAGAAGAGAGTAATCACCCTGTTTTTACAACCCAGGTACCTTGTGGGCCAACGCCTCGTGAACTATGAACGTAAATCCGGCAAACAAGGCACATCACCACCACCTCCACAGTCGTCCCAAGAATAAAGTGGTTGTCTCAACTCCCTTGCCTTCCCCTTGCCTTTCCGTGTCCTTCTTTGTGGACTTCTCTCTCTGGAGATTCCCCGGTGATCTCTCAGCATTGTTTCTGAGTTAGGTGTCTGACTTATGTGCTCAGCGCTCAAGGAGCAGCAGCGAGACTCTGCCGCCCTTGCATCTTCTGACATCACTGCTGTCCGAGGTCTGTACATGTGTAAATAGAAGTTCCTGGATACCCTAGAGCCCTGGATTAAACAGAATGTGCATTGTACATCTTTAAACAAAATGTATATTAATTTATTAAATCTAGTTGTCACTTTATTTTGGACCTGCTGTGATTTTGACAGGAAATGTGCCACAGAGCTATAGTACAGAGGCAAAACTTCTGAATGACGTCTTTTGGAGCACAGTGTCCTGATGTTCCTAGCAGTTCTTTTTAAGTGAACTGTGTGTTGTGTGTGTCTTGGCTGTTCAGATCTTACTGAGAACAAAAAGGAAACAAGCAGAAATCAACAGTGGAGTGTCTGTGGTAGGAAAACATGAACTTGTGCTTCACTGTCAATCGTTTTTGGAAGTTATTTTGTATAACACCAAAGCTGTTGTACATTTTCTACTGCCTGATTTTTTTTCATATGTCTGTGTTTGTAATATTGTATAGTATCTTGTGCTAGGTGAAGAAATTATTTTTAATTTTGATAATTTAATATTCCTAGTGATCAGCATCGGGAGTTGGGGTTTTGTGCTTGTTAGGGGCATGTCTGTACTTTAGAGGAAAAACAAAACTCCAAAAGAAGTTTTTCTCCCAATTCCCCTTTCCCACACATAGCTGTCCTTTTGGCAGCAGTGGCCAGGAGTCATTCAAGATCATAAATCTTAAGAAAATAACATCACCAGTGATCCTGCATCTTCCTGGAATAAGGACATACTGAAATGTCTGTCCAGTGTAGCTGGGGTTTGTGGTCTTAGGTTGACAGCATTAGATTGTGGGCATAGATTAGAGGAGACTGGCTGGAACCCCAGGTCCCGCTGGTGAGCACGTCACTGGGTAAGAATTAGGGCCAGTGCTTTTCTCCAAAGTTTCTGAAGCTTTTTGTTTACAGAATAAAACTATCAATAAAACCAACTTGATTTTATTTGACCAGGAGGAAGCTGGCCGCACTGGCCTTTGAACATAGGAGTGCAGAGTGTATTTCATTGGAAGCGTGCTGTAAAATCTCAGAAGGCAGAGCACTTAGAGACTTGGTTTTCCCGTATAACCAAAGCTTCAAGCGAGAAATGGAGAGAGAGGATGGTCAGGCCGGTGATCCCAGTGTTTGACAGTGATGGTATGTTATAAGGGGGGGTGTTTGTTTTATGAATGATAACTTAGAAATTCTGAGAAAATGCTCAGCATAGGTCTTAAGAAACCATAAAAGAGTTTCCATATAGTATTAAAACCCACAGGCTTAAACCCAAGGATTTTTAAAGTATGAGAGTCAGCCAAACATAAGCTACCAAAATCAAAAGCACCAGGTTCTGATTGTTTCATATTTCAGCAATTTTTCCTGAAGTGGTAAGTGAGAACTTACTTAAACATCAGTATCAAAAAAGAAAAAGCTTGACATAGGACTCAGTGTTAACAGTTTCCACACTTTGTAGTGGCCCTTTCTCACATTTGAAATAAGGTCTTTGCTAGCCCTACCCTCACTTAGAAATTTAGTCCTACTGTAAAAATTAGGAGCATTTTTTTAAACATAATGCCACTTGTTATGGTGTATGTCTACATAAACTCTTCTCTTTGGGGGGAAAAAGTATCAAATTGGGCATATAACTTTGATTATGTTAACTTTGTTTCTTTTTAAATTTTTCAAAGAATTTGTAGATCTTGATACAAAGTTATTGGAACAAGTTTATCTGTTTTGCCAGAAAGAGATCTAGATAGATAACACAATAGATAAAAATCGTTACTCTACAAATTTTAAATGAATCTTACCAGATATTTTGTAAAAAAAGAAAAAAAGAATGGCCAAAAAGTTGCCCTCAATTTCACTGGCAGGTAACTTTGCCTTATCTTACTTAAGGATTTCCCCTGGTTTTTCATTTGTGCTTTGTTCTGTTGTTTTCAATGAGGTGAATACTTTCATGAAGAAAGCATTTGCTGGCATACTGTTTACTTGGGTAGCATCAAGATTTTATTATTAACTAATAGTATTATAAATGTTTAAACTTCTAGTTCAGAAAGTGCTAGTATTGCTATCCTTCTCCATGTAGAATTTAAAAAAAATAGCTCTGCTTCATTTTACATTGGGCTAAAACTGTCTTCAAGGAAGTTCATTAGGAAAGACCTTTTTGCTTTATTTTTCCTGTTTATAAATTGAAGACAAATCAACAATTGGGGTTAGTTTTACATGACCAGTTATCAAATGGTCACAGTTGAAGTGTGCAGTTGTTCATTATTAGCAAATTATGTTTGATTTTAAACTACTATTAAGTACTAATAGTTTAGATGAAAGCTGAAGAAAAAAATGCCAATGTGAAGTTTGTGTATAGCTAGCCTTAAAAAAGCTCCATGTTTTTAGGTGATTTTTTTTCCTGTTAGTGCTCTGGGAAAACAATGGAGACTGGACATCTCAATTCCAGATGTAAATGAAAAGTAATTTTTATTTCAACATTTAATATAACTGTTATTACTGTGGATTCTTGTCTTGTGTTTTTTCTTTCCCTTATTCAAGTACTAGAGAATAACTTTTTCTCAGATGATTTGATCCTAGATGGTATGTCCTTTCTGTATTGGCAAAATGCTACTATTAAAGTGTAATTCTTGAATTTAGGTTGAATTAATGACTTTTTAAAACACACACACCCTTACTCACTCATTTACTTACTCTGAAGAATGTTGCACCAGCATAAGAACATTGGCACTTTTAAAATGTTCAAGTGAGCTACTTAGTCTCATTTTCAGGACTGAACATTTTAAGCTCTCTACTTACTGTGATAAATTTTTTATATTATTAAAATTAAATGATTATGTTTAAAATACTCCTTAAGAATGTTACCTGTTCAGTCGCCTTCAAGAAGACAAATGTCTTAGCACAGAGGTACTAGGAGAAACCTCACCTGTGGAGATTGTCTAACTTCCTTGTGTCTCCTTCATTAACGTGGCCTGCAGTCAGATGTTTTTCCTTTCAGTCCGTTACTGCCCTCTGTCATTTTTTAAAAACAGCCATCATGAGTAAATAAGGGCTTCTTTCAGATGATCCCCAACAATATCTTGGGCATTTAATGCAACATGAAGATAGGATACATCTGTTTTCATTCCCATCTGTTTTGTATGAGTGCCTCATTTTGTAGTCACGAAATTAGTACCTTAAATGAAAATGTAATGACCATAGGGCCTAGAAATGACTGTTGTAGAAGCTCAATAAATAGAACTTTTATGTAGTTGGGATGTCAGTTTTCTACTAAACACAGATAAACAGACCAACTTTATGTGTACATATTCTAAAGTGCTCCCTTTTTTATGTGGTCCTTTGTTGCCTTCTGAGTTGAGAGAACAAAATTGAATAAAAATGTTAGTTGTAGCCTAGCTTTTTGGTTCGTTTATTTTTGCTTTGTGGCATGGTTGCTTCAGAATTACAGAAATGTGCATTATTAGTTGGCAGAGGCAGATAATCCAGACTGTTAAAAATATAATAATTATGGAAGAGAAAACTCAAATTACATATGATTATAGTCTCTCTACTCTGTTTTAAGGGTGAATTTAAAAGTACTTGCAGAAGTTGCACCCTCCCTCCCTCCTTGCCTGTCCCTCCGCTGTGATTAACAGACCATCCTCACCAGGAAGAGCGAAGCCCAGCTCCGTGCCTTCATTGCAAGATCCCAGCATGAAGCTTCCCCAGGTGGGCTCTTAGTGGAGATCTGGATGGAATGAAGCCAGTCAAGTCCACCTCACATACTGATCATGTGTATCGGAGAAAAAGGAAAGGACCGCAGTGAGGGTTACTAAAGTGCCCGTTGTGACAAGATTCCTTTTTTTCTAGGTTCAGTTTTTTTTTCCCTATGATTTTTTTTTTTTTTAAAAATCAAGTGTATCTGTATTTTAAATGCAGTAGTGGTAGGTGAAATACTGTTTGACCCACAAGGTATGTATAAGCTGCGAAATTGAAATTTCACAGCAAAGGATGTCGTGCAGTGAATCTCAGTAAGTGGTCATCAGTTCCCTCCCCCCACTGTGCGACTTGCAGCCACTCTTGTTGAAATGGAACCCACATCACAAGTGCCACAAGGGTCTGAGGAGGTAACACTCACCCCACCCCACCCTCATTTACTGTGGTGTCTGTGTTGTTTCCAGCACTGTACTTAGTACTATAGCAGAATAAAGTAGGGGATCTGCCTTTAAGGAGCCCAGTTAGAATGGAAAAGAACAGGAAAAAATGAGCAAAGGGTTCTATTACAGTTGTGAATAAAATGTCAGGAGGAACACCTGGGGACCCACCTGGGGAAGTCCGTGACAAGTTGACTGCATCCTTCGTTCTGTCGCGTGTAGGTAGCACCCCTGCTCCCACAACTCCTCTTTCACCCTTGTGCAGTCGACTGCTGCTCAGACCCACGTGGCACCACAGCTGTCCATATCCAACACCTAGTAACCCACTGTACATTGTCTAAGCATCATCTTTTTGAAATTTCTTCCTTTACCTATATATGTAACAGTGCCCCAGCCTTTCTTCTCCTCCATGTTTGTTCTGTAACTTTAGGACAAGATGCTTCATACCCAGGAGCCCCATTCATTCACTCATTGGTTACTTGCTTAAATTGATCAGTCCCTTCTGCTAGCTGCACAAATCCAACATGTGATGGAACACAATAGAACCCAGAAATAGACCTACACACGTGGTCTGCTGGTTTTTTACAAAGGTGCAAAAGTGAACAGATGGTGCTAGAGTAATTGGACATCCAGATGCAAGATTAAAACTTGATTCATGTCTCAACATTTGCAAACAGTAACTTAGAGTGATTACAGTCCTAAATGT